CTGGAACGCTCGGGATCGTCTTGTCAGCCTCCACGCAAGTCCCACATGCAAGCTGATGCACCTCCAAGACGGAGTGCACACCCAGCGACCGGCGACACCCCCAAGGGCACAATATACACAACCAACCACCCCCCTCGCACACACCCCCTAAGCCCTTTTTGCCCTTCTGAGCCCCTTTCTCAGCCAGGCCTTTGCATCAGTGTTTCTCGATGTCCTACCTGACTCGCCCGTCGACCTTGTCGTCTGGCACACCATGGGCAAGCAGGCAAGCATGTCCGCCTCTAGACCCCCCACCCCGTGATATCGCACCCAGGCGCCCAGCTTCCACGGTTGCGGGTGCGTGTCCTGCCGCAGCGGACCTCCCCCTCCCCCCCTGTCTATCGCCCGTCGGTGATCTTCCGTCCTCCTCGCCCACTCACGCCAGCCCGTGCTTCCCCCAGAAACGCATTGACCACCTTCAAATTCAACTGCACTCTTGGATCTTGACTATTTTTCAGTCACTCTTAGGCGCTGCCATGCACTGTCACCACCACCATCACCACCACCAACACCCCCTTTTTACCCCTTTGCCATCATCGCCTTGACCAACTGCCCATCTGAACAAACACACGGGGCCAGGTCTTACGCTCACGGATCACACTGATATGCCGTCGGAACCCGGCATCGCCACTATCTAAACACCCCTTTCTCTGCCGGCCACCACGGCAAGTCGCCAGCTCGTTTCCAGACATGCCGTATAATGCCCTTCCAACCTTGGCTGAGGCCATGCATGATACCCACGTACCTGCAACTAAGTACATTTCACTCCCCCTCCCTCCCTTCGTCCCGTCTAGGGTCCGGCAGTAAATCATCACCGCCTCATCGACACCTGCAGATGTGCAACTTTCCAGCCAGACGTATCGATTCCTCGTAATGAACATGTTGCTTCGCCCCGCCTCCCCTGCCATCCCCTCTCCTTCACCCCCGTCGCATGCAGGAGTTCGCAGCGTTCGCGGCACCGGCGCCCCTGCCTGCACGCCTGATTCGCACCTTGCCACGCTACAATACGCTACGCTGAGGTGCCATCGTCAATCGTTCGCTCTCAGTCTGGGGTCCTGCTCCAATGATCAACTGATTAGCTTTCCTGTGGGCTATGGCGCGGTAGCCATAGTTGCGCTCGCTCTGCCGGGCGGGTTGATCACGCTCCATATATCTTTAGATGCATCTTCCCGCGACCCGCTTGCTTGCTGCCTGTGGCGACTCGGCCGCGCAGGTGGGAGGGAGAACAAGGGCCGTCGTGCAGGTGGTCCCTTGATGCATCCACTGTGTGGGCAAATCGCATGGTTTCGTCCATGCACCCGTCTATCGCTTTCCTGCACACCCCCTCCCTCCCAACAAGCCACCCACCCTTTCCCTCTCGAGACAACGTGATATCCGCGTACGAGCCACACCATCTGGGACCCTATCGTGCATGGGCTAGGAGCGAGCAGGGAGGTAGGGCAATAGGGGAGACATGCGAGACATGCTTCCTGATCTGCCAGACTTGCAGTTGTCCAGCCAGCCAGTCCCGAGCTTCCGCCTCCTGCCCTGTTTCTTGTTTCTTGTTCCCGTCTTTTCTCGTCTCTCCCCTCCTACCCGTCCTTTCTGGGCCGCCTGTTTATACAGCTTAGAAACCTGACGTCTGCGAATCGGTTCCCAGCCGCCCTCCCCACCCCGTGCCGAGTTTCATCTATCCAGCTATGCACAGTACAGATTGCAATACTACCGGTACAATATGTATATCCACAGGCCGGGGCCCTTGAACCTAGCGTCTAGTCCCACACCCTATCTCCCTCGTGTGGGTGGTACAGCCGTTTTGTGGTCTACGTCAACGTGCATTCCGCGCAGCCTCATGACCCCGATACTTAGTCATTCCCCATCCCGCACCACCCAAGTGCAAGAGTCTAAATCGTCTTAGAATAGTCTATCCCCCCCCCCCCTTTTTCTTGTCTGCCCCAGGGCGGAATAGAGACCATCCGTCCTAGTCCCACCCCCTAAGAAGCAAGCTCTAGAGCCTCCGGAGCGGAAAGAGCAGTGGCTTGATCTGTCGGGTCCGAACGCAAGCAATGAAGCTTGTCAACTTTAGCTTGTCACACTGGTATCCGAGCACTACTATAGTCTACCAGGCTTTCCTGTTATCATTGGGAGACTTTCGACTCCCCCCCCCCCCTTCAAGCGAAAGCCAAAGCCACGAGGGACGTTTTGTTTCCCATTCCCACTTTCTTTTCTTTCCCCAGATGGCTTGGCCAGGATCGCCCACCGGTCCTTGTCTTTTTCGGTTAAGATTAACATGCGCTGTCTCGGAGAATATCTTTTAGAAGAGAACGCGGTGCGCTCGGCTTCAGCATGTCCCGGGTGGCTGAGAGCCTGTTTTGACGACAGACCACCGGGCGATGCGCGTGTTGCGCCGGCCATATTTGCTGGTGACAAGCATTTTCTTGTTGCCGCCACTCTTCCCACTTAGTTTAGAACCAAGGCTGCTACCATTTAATATTACTGCGGAGAGTGGTTTAGCCACCGGTGGATATGGACAAGGCGCGATTGCTCTAGGTGGTTTATATTTTCTTAAATCTGTGACGATCGACTGACGACCTTGGTATCCACACCCGTGAGCGTGATGATGCCCAGAGCCTCACCGGCGCCCGCGAATCCCAAGTCTCATGACCATTCCCATGCATGCGCATCTCACGGGGCCCATGGGCTGCCTCCGAGGGCGTTCTTCCCGTCTCCTTTGATTTCTTGCTGTTTATCTATTTTGTTACCCCAAGAGCGAAAAGTCGGTTCGCTTGGGCGCAAGCATAAAACTTCCCGCGGCGGAGCTTGCGTCTGGTTTGACTCACCCGCGCTCAACGGGCGGCTCGTATATCAGAGACAACGCGATCAAGATGTGATCGTGTAGTACAGCATTTTACGCACGCTGCTTCTTCTTGCTCTGCTTCCGAAGCGGAAGAATGGGGGGGGGGGATCATCGCCACCCGCCCTGCCAGGAGGCCAGCGAGCGCGGCCGTGTGTTCCTTCTTTCCCCCTGTCATGCATGCATGCCTGTGCGGCCACCCGACGACCGGTCTGGGTACGCGGGCCTTGGGTAGACAGACGCATATTCTTAGAAACCGGCATTTCGACTCCCCTTACCCAGACATACAGACAGACTTTCCCCCGCCCGTTATCTGGTCCGGGTCACCCTTGTGTATAACAAAGAATGTTTGCACCGGGCTCCTCGGGCGCTAGATGAAACCCGGGGAAGAGACTGGGGCCCTCCCTCTCTTCTCTCTCTCCTCTACTTTCCTACCCATGGTCGTATGTTCCTCCCATGTTGCGCGTCGAGTAGGTACATACATCACTCGAGAGACCTCAGCTCACCCTTCACACCCTCATGCCACCACCCCCCTTTGATACATACATACCATACCTCGTGGCCCCACACCACCCAACCTCCAACGCCCACCAGGACGACCACGGGATCGTCCCCGCGGCTCCCTTCGTGATCCTCTAAGCGATGTCATTCGCCCGCCGGGCCTGCTGCCTTTTGAACGCACTGTCGAGATGTGCGAATGAGTCACCACCGTTGTCCGCCTGAGCAGGTGGGTATTTATAAGTGGGTATCTATGTATGTCTCTGTGAAATACGCCGTCACGCCCGGCGGGTCCCCGAACTCCTAGTACCTCTTCTGCTGGACACTTCGAAGCTGCCTGGCCTGGGCTTGATCTGCCCTTCCTCATCCGCCACTCCGTGGGTAGGTATTTGTCAAAAACAGTCCACCACGTGTGGGATCTGCTCAGTCATTGGGCACACCTCGCGGGCTTGCGAAATCCTGTTTTTTGTCGACCTCTGGTTCACCCCTAGTTGGCTGCCTAGTTTGGCATCCAGGGGTTGCAGTTGGGGACTGGCACTTTTCAGCCTTGCTTGACCGCACGCCAAATGCACTTTCCGGTATTTATACACGCTTGGTGTAAATACACCTTGCGGCGCTGTTTCTGTTCGTCGTCTAGGGGCTGTTTGTTCTATGAGCGGTGTGTGGGCCGTGTTTGTCTAAAATTGTGTTGTTCCCTATGTCAAATGGTTGGACCTTCTTCGATATGATCGCGCGCACTTTGAAACGTCCCGCCTGTGCTGTCTCGGCAAAGACAGAATCCTGTCTCCTGCAGAATTGAGACAATAGGGCTATACGGGGCCAGACAGGTCGGGTCAACGACTTAGTTAGCTGCACCTCGCCTCTTTTCCTTTCCCTCTTTCCCTCCCTTGGGCGGCTCAACCTCGCCGAACCCTGGCGAATCCTCTCACGATCCGAACTACCGCGACTCAGAGCGCAATCTAATCTCTCTTCGCGCACCCCCCCGGGATAAACCCTCTATATCCTCTCGGGCTATACAGCTGTCTCATCGCCCCAGCCCCGCGCCCAACCTGGGAACGAACGAATGCAACAAGCAATCTCGCCCGCGCCGCGTTCCGCAGGCGGAAGCATGGCCAGGTTATCCCGCCCACATATCTGGTCATCCAGTCTGTTCCGCCAGCGCAGCACGAGACTAGTCCCCTCGGCCGTCGTACCGGGGCATCACGTTAGCCGTGGTCGTGTTGAACCTAATCTGCTGTAGTTTGGGCCTTGATAGCCACTTCCACATCACGCATCCGCTTGGGAATGGGAGTTTCGGCCGCTTAAAGGCGACTTGTAAATTTCCTTTTGCACTGATCATGGACCCTTAGTCGCACGCGCCGTTCGCAGGCCGTTTTCATGCGGAAAGTGGTCTCCCATCATTGTTTCATCATAGACTCTTGGTCGAATGACCACGGGGTTATCGAGACCCAGCCTCGATTATTCTCGTCTCGTAGGACAAGTGTCAAGCTAGAGAACGTAAGCATGGGGTGCGCACAAATCCCAGTCCCTCGGGGCACGACGGGCGGGAAACGCACAGTCTGCCGCCCTGCCTTGACCCGTCGAGCCGCTAGCCTCCGAGACGGGCGTAGCTTGTTTTCTGGCTGCCCTTTCATTCTGGGCTGGAACGGCCGCTAGGCCGTGTCGGGACGCGTGGCGCGGTCATGTGGGCTGGGGCGCTGGGCGTTTGGCGTTTTGAGTGCGTAGTCTGACCTCTACTGATCGGTGCGCCAGGGTCTTCCGGGATGGGAATCGAAAAACCTGTCGGATGGGGTGGTTTACGTAGTCCGTTTGGGTACGCATCGGTTTCAGAATGGTTGTAGTGGCCTCCCTCCGGGTATGCTGCGGACTTTGACGTTGGGGTGCGCACCAGCGACAGCAGGGCGTCCACCCGGATCTCGCGGACGTGTTCCAATTCGTCATCGACATAGGAGCACCACTTCCAGAAGATGCCCACCATCTCTGGCCGATCTTCTTGACCGGTTGCGAGTTAGATTCAGCCGTATAGAATTTAAACTTTTAGCATCATCACGGTGGCTGTCGACTTCGGTCCCGAGGTGTTCTGGATGCTCGTCTACTACAGACCGGTGTCTCAACCAGGTCGTGCTTACAGGTCTTGAGAACACACAAGTTCTTGGAGGGCATCGTTTGGAATCATGGCCGCGTAATGCCGACGACTTTCATGGTGAGGTTGAAATTCTGTGGTGGACTCGGGGCTTGACACTTGCCACCAAACTTTGAGCGTTGACTGGTTGGTGATGTCGTTGTTTGATGATTGAGGCCTCCTTTTAAGTGTAACTCCTACCTTAGGTTTCAAGCTTTTCTGTGGTCAGAGGCCACGAGTATGATCCGTCTCTTCCTGTATGGTCAAGAGACGAGTGCCTAACTCTTTCTGCGAGGAAACCCTTTCGTCCTCCTAGGGATGCTGTAGCGAGACACAGTGTCACTCCATCCTAAAACACAAGTACAAAGTTGGCTTCATTTCCCGAGCCTCTCGTTATCTGGTCACATTCTGCAGCCGCCACCTCATGACGTGAGTAAATCAAAGAGATCGAACCGTCAGTGGTCAGCTCGTTCAGATCGTGGCACTCATTCCAACTTCTGGAATGGCCATGTCCACTGACACCAAATTTCGGATGGCGGCTTTCAGTTGATTTGAACGGGGAATGGCAAGTGAAATGTTCTTTTAATGCCAACGAGAAGTTCACCAAGTAACCATGGACCAAATCCGGGTCAAAGTGAAGGAGAGAGCGATAAAGGTTGCGTCAAATGACCTTCGGGCCACAAACCACCGCAATATTGGAACAGTCAATGGTATATGCCGAAGTGATTATTTGTAACACAGGCCGCGAACGGCTGCGCTCACGTATTGACTCCATTTATGAGAACCAGGAATTGGAAACTTATTTTGCTAAGCTTGTTTTGAAAATTAGGCCGTATGAGTCATCGTGATACTTGTATTCGTAATATCAGCCCATTTTTCAACAAGCTTCACGGCGCGGATAAATGAGTAGCTCTTTTCAATCTGAGTAACATGTGAACTGAACAACCCAATGCTTGATTTCATCACGAACAGAGGAAATTATTCCCAGACATTTTATCACATCCCTCTGCCTTGACTGATAATGTTACCGTCTTGCCCTAATCCTCAGGGAGCAAACCGACATTCAAAGAGGCCCTCCTACACTCGTGCCTACAAGTCTAACTCGACCCTGTTCTGCGCGCTGAGACCCCCAATCTTGCCAGCAGTCGCTTCTGGGAACACTTCGCAATGGCCCCAGGTAAGCAGCTCAGTATTCGACCCTGAGACGGACACGGGCTCGGCCGAGACTCCGACGGTGAGGGCGAAGTCATCCGTGATAGGGACGTCTTGCGTGTCCTGGTTTTGAATATATTAGCCCACGCTATTGTTCTGAGTCACATCCAGCATGGTTTTACAGAGACTTGCTTACTTTAACCACCCTCCAAGAGAGGTTGTCCTTCAGATACGCCACCACAGCCGCGGTGTCGCCGACGTCCACACCTCTCTCCTCCAGCGCCTCGTTCAGCGGCACCGAGCCTGTGACGAGGATGCCGTCCTCAGCCTGGGCCACGCAGTTGGCGCAGTTCTGCCTTGACTGGTTGGACAGCATCGTCACCGTTCCAACGCGGCTGTCCGACAGGAGCCAGTCGGCCGTCGACGCGGGCAGCTCGCCCAGGAAGACGTGAATGCCCCAGGTCCCCGTAAGCGCGAAGTTCTTGACCCGCAGGAAGACCTGCCAGTGGTTGGTGTTGTGGTTTGTGGTGCCTCCGTTGTGATTGGCACTGGTTCCATTGTGGTTGGCACTTGTTGTCCCGTTGTGTGCCGGGGCTGAGCCCTGATGGCGGCGGATGTTGATCGGGGGAAGGCCGTCGTTAGACTTGCCATTTGCCGCCGTCCCGTTGGCGGACTTGCCGTTGGTAGAGGCCGCGCCTGCGAGCTTCTGTGCCGGCGGACGAAAGGAGGCGGGGGCGTACAGATTGTAGACCTGCTGCGTGACATATGTCCTCATCTGGTCGGGCTTCTTGAGCAGGTCCAAGGGCGTCTCCGGGTAGTAATACCCGCCGTCAAACGTGCTGATCAGCTCCTTGGTGTCGTTGGCGACGTAGTAGTCCGTCATAGAGTGCGCCGAGGTCTTGTGCCACGGCTCGAGGTTCGAAGTGCCTCCCTCAACCGCGCCGGATCGCTTGACGAACCGGTCCGTCTGCGAGGGGAACTCGTCAATGGTGTTGTTGGGGTTCATTGCCTGCCAGATGGCCGTGAGACGGTCGCAGTTGACGTGGTGGAGCCAGAAGATCGGGTCGAACGAGCTGGCCTGGACATCAGACATGTTGCCGTACTGCTTGTTCTGGTCGACGGAGTCGTTCGTGCCGGTGTAATCGTGAATGGTGTTGTGCATGCTCTCCACCGAGTTGTATGCCTTGACTGGCTGCTTGGGTCTCCAGGCCTGGCAGGTAAACTGGTCAAAATTGGTGACATTTGTGAGAGCATCGAACGTGGAAGCCCTGAAGGGTTTGGCGACTCTGGCGATTTGAGCGTTCGCGATTTCCTGGTGATTGTTTCCGTTCGCATCCGGGCATCGCTTGGATTCTGCCCACGCACCAGTAGAAGGCCACCCCATCTCCGTCTGAATGGTACGAGTAGCCCAATCGGACGTGAATTGGTAGGAATAAAGAGGATTGTGTGGAAGACGGAGAGTCTCCTTTGCCCCGGGCGTCTTCCCTGGGACAGTGAGCGTGATGTCCGGGGACATCGTCACGGCTGGGAGATGGGGATCAGATGCCCAGTCCCAATACCTGTGTCTCCAAAGTCAACGATGAACGAACCCGAGGGCAAAGTGTTTGGGGATTCTTTCAAGAGTCGTCAAGGGGGCAAAGCCTACGGCAGTCGGACATCCTGGAGTGCCGCTTTGTATGCGTCTGCAGCGGAACCAGACGCCTTTGCGGCGATTTCTTGGGCATAAGCAAATATGATTTGCTGCCCATGTCAGTGGAGGTCTTGGTCAAGGCAATACTTTCACATACCTCATAGAGCATCAGATACGGTCGGTGCCACGGAATGAAGAGAACACTGCGATGCGTGCAGTACCCAACGGTAGTGACTGATCCCGCAGTGGGGTCCTTCTGCCACGGCACATACGGAACACCGTGAACACCTGTACAATGCCTTGTCAGATCCATGATGAAGTATCAACACGGACACGAATGTGAATCAATTTACCTGTGACCTGAAAGTAGCTTGTCCCATTAGCATTGTCCTGGTCAAACTTCTCGTTGCCATTCTTCTGCCACGCAGCAAGCGCCTGGACGTAGAGCGCGAATGCGAACTCGTGTTGGGTTTGAAACACATCGATCGGGAGACGTTGGGCGGGCTTACCACCCGCGGTCTTCACCCCAACGATGGGTGTTGGGGATGATATGACAGGAGCCATATTTGATGGTTGTTAGCAGGAAAGAGGACTTCCACTGGAGTCTATGTTTCAAAGAAGTATGGCCCGCCCTTGTGCTTTCTATGGGAATCAAGCATGGCATTTTATATGTTTTACTCACACTAATATCTCACATAATTGTGTTAATACTCAGGTGCGGCTGACCCTTGGATTAGTTGCTGAGCACAACAGGAATGCTCCCGAGGTCATCTGAGACTGTGGCTGACTTGCATTTCTGAGACCGTCTCACCGACTATCTGTGTCTCCAGTACAATATATGCTCATACTACTGTAGTGCTACAGAGAAGAGCGGCTAATTCCTTTGTTTTCACAGCCTAGGGGACGACTGAATTTCCCAAAGGTCACTTCGTTATCTTTATGAAGGGACGTGCCTCGGGTCTCATCCAATACGAATAGTCAAGTTCAGCTGAAAAGTTTCTGATGACTCTTGAAGCAGAGTAGATACGACCGGGTGTGTGCTCTTGGCTGAGACAAAGACGGGAGTTCCCTTCCTTACTATCATGTTGTTCGAAGGGTGTCACGATCCTTAATACACAGTCAGATCAGTCGCCCCGACAATAGCGGCCAACATACAGCCTCTGGTTGGTCATTACCCCTCACGTGGCTGTAGAGCCGTATTACAGTCAGGAATAGTTAGGATTCATTAAAGACGAAGTTGATACTGTTGGAATATTCTAGATATTTAGGCTATTATTAATACGGGATATCCTTTTCCCTATATGTTTGCCACTATATGGAGGATAATAACTATAAATAGGGGCCTTCCCTCCCATAGAATAAACATTAGCTAGCTTAATAAACTAAGCATTTAACGCTATTATTTTAAAGGTTATAAACCTAGAGCTAACTTAAAACAATAACGCTAACTTAATATGGAAAATATACATTACATAATACCCTAAATCGCTATTACTTTTTAAATTTTTTAAATAAATAAGCTTTATACTTTAAGATAAACTTTTTAATTAATTACTTAATTAAGCTAATTAATAAGCCCTTAATTAATTAAATTACCCCATTTAATATTATAAATTAACCTTATTTCTTAACTTAAAGCTTATATATAAAAACTATACTTCCTTTACCTAAATGCTTAATTATTTTTTTATTAATACTTAACCTACTTATATAATTTATATATTATTTAAAAGCCCTTATTAAAAATAATAAAAGTATTTCTTTAAATTTTAAAAATTATACTACGTTAATATTAAAAATATAAATTTTAATAAACTTATAATAATTCTTAAACTCCCTTAAAAATACTTAATTATATCTTAGCTATCTTTAATTTATAATACCTTAAAAATATATTATTTAAAAGCACTTTTTTTTCTCTTTATAATTATATTACTTTAATATTTATATCTTTATTCCTTAACTTATTAAACTTATTTAAAGTTTATTATATCTTTTTCTTTATTATTTTAATTATTTTAATAAATACTTTACTTATTTATCTTAAAATAGCATTTCTTAATAAATATAATATTTTACTTCTTAATAAAATACAAAACTATATATATTAAAGCATTAAAATTTAAGCTTAACTTAAAAAAGAAAATATTATTAAGAATAATCTTAAAAATCTTTTTTAAAGCTTATTTTTAGCTTAAAATAAAAAAGCCCTTATTAATATTAAACTTATATATAAGTAAAGGCTTATTATATTTATAAAAAAAATAAATAATGCTTAAAAAGCATAAAATATACTTAAATTTTATTATAAACTTTTTAAGTTTATAAGCTAATATTTACTTTATAAAGAGTTTTTTAATATTAATTTTAATAATTTTAATATTATAAAAGAATATATTAATAAGCTAAAGCTTCTTTTAAAAAATTTAAAGGCTAATAATATAATTCTTCCTAAATAAGTTATAATTAGCTAAATTTTCCATAGTTTAAATAATAAATATATTAGCTTTATTTAAAATATAACTTAAAGTCTTAAAAAAGATTTAAATGCTTATATAATTAAATTTCTTTTCTTTAGCTTATTAAATAAAAATAAAGAAAAACCCTTTAAATTATTTAAAAAAGCTTTATATATAAAAAGTAAGAAAGATAAAAAAAGATTATTATATACCTTAATTATAAAATAAAGAGGTATACTTAAGAAAATTACTATTTTCTTTATTTAAATAAAGCGCTTATTAGCTAAAAAATAAATAAATAAAAAAAAGAAAAACTAAGTTTTTTAAGGAAGAATATAAGCTAAGAGAAATAAAAGAAAATGCAAAAGCAATTCCTAGCTTTATTAACTAGTATAAAGTCTCCTATAGCTTTAAAAGGCGCTTAGAAAGAACTTATAACCCATATAGCTATAAATAATTTAATAAAGAATATTAAATATAATAAGAATTTATTAAATTTCTTATAAATTTCTTTTAATAACCTAATGGGAATTAAGATAAATAACCCTATATATACCTTATATATATATATATATATAATAATAATAGCTAATAATAATAAATTTATAGGAAATTAATAATATATAAATTCCATAAAAATAGCTATAAATATTGCTATAAATATAATAAGTTTTAAAAATATACGCCTTTTTAATATTATATATATAATTAATAAAACTATAAAATAAAGTAATGCGGGTATTATATTTATAAATAAAATAAAGAACTTAATAATTAAGTTTTTAAAAATAAATATTATAAAGAAATTTTTTAATATATATTATATGCTTTTTTTAGGTTTAAATATATTTAATTATAAGTATATAAGTAATAAAATTAAATTAAAATTAAAAGGAAATATTATTAAATCATATTCTTAAGAAATAAATAAGTTAATAATTTAAGAATATTAAATAAATGGCTTATACTTTATAAAAATTAATATAATAAAATAAATAAATAAGCTTAAATATACTTTTTAAAAAATATATATAACTTAATAAAATTTAAATATAAATAATAAAAATAAAGAAGAAATATATAAATGGTATTATAAACTAAGCTATATAAATATTTAAGCTTTGGAAATATTTCTTTAAAAATATAAAATAAATATATTAATAAATAAATTTATTTAAGAATATATAAGTAATTATAAAGTATGCTTAAAAGCTAAGCATATAATTAAAATAAATAAGATTAACTTATATAATTAAGTATATAATATACTTAAAAGAGTACATAGTAATATAAGCAATTCCTTAAAACTTATATATAATAAATATAAATATTATATATTATTCCTTAATAAAAGAACTTAATATTTAAAAGTTTCTTTGCTTAAAAATAAAGATAAAGCATTAAAAGCTTTTAATAATTATAAAAATAAGGCAGAAAATAAATATAATAAAAAAATAAAAGAATTCTTTATTAATAATAAAGGCAAATATATAAATAAAAGATTTAAACTCTTATTAAATAAATACTTTATAAATTATTATATAACGCCCTTATATATAAAAGAATTAAATGGCTTAATAGAAAGATTAAATTTAATTATAATAAATAAAGTAAGAAGCCTTTTATATATAGTAAATTTATTTATATACTTATAAGGAAAAGCAATAAAATATGCTATATATTTATATAATATTATACTTTATAAAAACCTAAGGTATAAGTACCCTTATAAGGTAATAAATAAAAAGAAGCTTTATATAAATAACTTAAAAATATAGGGATTTATTATATATTTTTAAAATAATAATTATAAAATTAAATTAAAACTTAGAAATAAAAAGGGTATATTATTAAATATAGTTTTAGAATTAAATATATATTAAGTATAGGATATAAATAATAAAAAGGCTATATTAATTTAAGATATTTAAATATTAAAAGGGTAATATATAAATAATAATAATATTAATATTATTAATAATAATAATAATAATGTTAATAATATATATATATTTCTAAAATTACAAGAATAAAGAAAAGAAAATAAGGAAGTAAATTCTCTTCCTATTTTAAATGAAATAATAATTTAAGGGAATCCAAAAGACTATATATATATTATATAAGATATATTATTAAATAACCAAATATTTATATTAAATTCCTAAGAAAATATATTAAAATACTGCTTAATTATAGCTAATATTAATAAACCCTTTTCTTTAAAAGAGATATTAAATAGCTTAGAAAAACCCCTGGGGGTTAAATTTATGCTAAATAAAATATATAATTTATAAGAATAAAATACTTATATAATAATGAATTTATTACCTAGCCGTACGGCTTTAAGGGGGAAATGGGTATATAAAAAGAAATTTATAAATAATTTAGCTATTATAAAGTTTAGTTAGGTAATAAATAATAAGAATAATATTAAATTTAAATTTAAATGGGTTATTTAGGGCTATAATTAAAAATTAAGCATAGATTATTTAAAGACTCTTTTTATAATTTGCCGCCTTAAGACCTATATTATATTATTAATAATAACTATAAATAAAGGATATTTTATATTTAATTACAACGTTAAAAATGTATTTCTATACTTTAATATTGATTTTAAAATATATATAAAATTACTTGCATATATATATAATAAACTAAAATATAAAAATAAAGTTATAAAATTAAATAAAGCTTTATATAAGTTAAAATAATTACTTATGCTTTAATATAAATACTTAAAAAATATATTAACTAAGTTAAGATTTATTATTTACCCATATAATAAAGAAGTATTTATATACCTTAATAAATAAATTATATTTATATATTATATAAATGATATTATTATTATAAAACTTAATAATAATAATATCAATTTAATAATTAATAAATTATATAAAAATATAAAATTAAATTTTTAAGGAAATTTAATAAATTTCCTTAAAAGCAATATATATATAAATAAAAAAGATAAATAAATAATTATAAATTAAAATAAATATATAGATAAAATATTAAAAAGATTTAATATAAAAAAAAGGTTAAGAAAAAGGAAATAATCCTTTAACTTATATTATATACTTTTAATAAAAAATTAAAAAAATATATTAATTAAGCTAATAAAAATATTATAGAATTATATTAATAATAAATAGGGTTTATATTATATATTAGCTTAAAAATAAGGCTAGATTTAACTTATTTTATAAATAAGTTAGCTAAATATATAGCAAACTTAGGATTAAAGCATATAAAAAAATTAAATAAAATATAAAGATATATATATAAATTCATATATATATTTAAAATATATAATTGCTTTGAAAATAATTTATAATTAATAGGCTATATAAATTTAAATTAAGGTAATGATATATTTATTAAAAAGAGTACCTTTAATTATATATTTAGCTTATATAATATTAATAATAATAATAATAATAATAAAATAAATCCTATAAGTTAAAATTTTTAGCTATAAAAAACATTAGTATTTTTTTTATGAAAGCAAAATATATGGCTTTAAGAAAAGCTATAAAAGAAGCTAAATATTTATATAATTTACTTAAATATTTTAATAATAATTTAAATATTAGCTTTAATTTTAAGCCTTTTATTATATATATAAATAATAATAACATTAAGAAATTAATTAAAAATACCTTATTTTATAAAAGAATTAAATATATAAATATTATATATTATTATATAAGAGAAGTAATAAAAAATAATAAGGTAATATTAAAATATATAAATTTTAAGTAAAATTTAATAAATTGGCTTATAAAATTAATAAATAAATTATATTATAAAACGTTTAAAGAAAAGTATAATTTAATAGAAAAATAATATAAAAATATTAAGCTAAAGAATAAAGAAATTTTTTATTTATATTATAATACGCACAAAATAAATTAAGATATTTACTTTTTAATAATTAGGATTAAGATTTTTTCCTTTACTTATAAAATATATAAATAAATTAAGCGGATTTAATTATATATATATATAATATTACCCTAAATATTAAAAGTTTTCCCTTAAAAGAAATAATTAAAATAATAAAGGTTTTTTTTAAAAAATAAATATTATTTATACAGCTTATATACATTATATATATATATAATTACAATATATTTATATTGCATTTATATATATTTAATTCTATATAGAAAATATATTTTTATAATATATATAATATAAATAAAATAATATAAGACTTTAATATATAAAAATGCTATAATATATTATAATTATTATAAAATAATTAATAAATCCTATATAAAACTTTAATTTAATATATAATACCTTATTAGCTATAAGTTTAAGTTTAAGTAATAATAAATTTTTAAGTTTTTTACTTAAATATATAATACTTAATAAATAAGTTTTTTCCCCTTTTATAAGGTTTTCTTACTATATAACTAAATATTCCTCTTTTATAAATTAAATCCCTTATATATAAAATAAAATAAATAAAAGGGAATTAGTTTAAGGGGGGCTGTTGGAATATTCTAAATATTTAGGCTATTATTAATACGGGATATCCTTTTCCCCATATGTTTGCCACTGTATGAAGGATAATAACTATAAATAAGGGCCTTCCCTTCCGTAGAATAGACGTTAGCTAGCCTAATAGACTAAGCATCCAACGCTATTATTTCAAAGATACTGTCTCTCCTGCTGATTGGGTCTTGACCGATTGGCCAGCTGACTGGAGGCCGTTCAACCAATGCAATCAGTGATATACGATGCGTACCTTCGTTACAATTGCCTTTCAAGCGGGCTCCATTGCAGTAAATGTTTTTAACATGCGCCTCGACTTCCTAGGAATCTTAAGTTGAGTCTTTTATAGGCCTGGACGCTCTCCAGCAGCTCGCTCACACGAACGCACTCGTCTTTGCCATGGGCTACCAAAATCGAACCTGGACCGTACAGCACCTTTTTATGGATCCTCTCAGCCTCGGAACATCGGTGCCAAATGCTACGGGAGCTGCATCAAAACCTCCAATTTCCCAGTCAAGAAGAGTCTCGGGATTTTTATGGAGCATATTGAGCTGGACATCACTTGATCTGGATTGTGTTGCGACCACATCAGCAATCTTCTTTATGACCCAGGGCAAGTTCGCGGCCACCCTTACGCCACAAAGCGCTTTTGCAGATGGCGCCACAATATTGTATCCTTCTCCACCCTCTATTTTTCCAATGTTCAGAGTGGAGGGCCCTAACAGGTCTGATGATGGCCACTCAACAGCCGAAAGGACGTTGAGGACATGCAGTAGCGCCACTGTTGCATTCTTTCCGAGATGTGGATAGCCAGAGTGACTACACCCCGTCAACCGCCAATGTCAGCCGTGATATAGATGCAAGCACTTGGGGGGACGTACCAGGATATGCCTTTGGCAACAACTTCGAAAACGACATGCCACTTGTGCCCCTTGGCGAGCTTGCCGTCCGTCGGCTCGCCAAAGATGCCAGCTTCCCACTCCAGGCCCATGAGGTTGGCAGCAAGCATGCCCGGACCTCCTTTCTCCTCGCCTACGATGAACAGGAAGCTGATGTCACCACCTGCCTTGTTGAGCTTTCCCTCCGCCCGCAACTCCTCGATCGCGAATATCTGTGCTACCAGAGGGCCAAGATCATCGCAGGCGCCGCGGCCGCGGATCACATCGTCCTCGATACTGAATGGGATATGGGGCGGCACGGAGCCTCCTCGAGGTTGTGGACTGCATCTGCCTGGCGTGCCCGCTGACTGACGACACCAAGCATCTGATCTCCGCCGCGGCGCTTAGTTTGATCAAAGACAGGAAGATCAGGATCGTGAATGTCGCCAGGGGCGGGCTCATCAACGAGGACGATTTGCTGGCGGCGATGGACAGGGGCGAGGTTGTCGGTGTTGGGTTGGACGTCCATGCTCACGAGCCGGGAATCAACCCGAGGCTGAAGAACAATTTCAGGGTGACGGTTCTGCCCCATATTGGGGTTGCTTCACGAACCAGCTGGAAGAATTTCGATGAGGTGGGCCTAAGAAATCTGAACGAGTTCTTTTGTGGTGACAAGAGGAAAGTAACATTCGTCAATAAAGTATAGATCATGTAGCAAACTTTATTATAACCCGTTGTTTATGAGAACGGATATTTGCGTAGAAAGAAATGAATGGTATATAGATACATTCAACATTTAGCATAATATATTACATTAACTAATTTGCATACCTTCAACTAAGTTGCACGCCTAATGCACAAACCTTATTTGCACGCTTGATTCATATGCTTAATTACACACTTAATTTACGTATTAAACTTATATAAAAACCTAATTTATAAACTTAAGGCTAAAACATATATATTAAGCTTTTTTATAAGCTATTAAGTTTATAAATAAGGTATATAACTTAAGCATGAGTGTGTAAATTGAGTGTGTAAATTGAGTGTGTAAATTGAGTGTGTAAATTGAGTGTGTAAATTGAGTGTGTAAATTGAGTGTGCAAATTGAGTGTGTAAATTAGATGTATGAATTAGGCGTGTAAATTAAGTGTGGGTGTGTGAATTGGGTGTGGGCGTGGGTGTGCGAGTTAAGGCGTGATGCTCTGGTGGCTGCAGCTTTGGCGGCAGGGATGTATCTGTGTACCCTCCGTGTTTTTCTGTGCGAAAATCCGTTTTCTTTAATAATTTTATATCTATCACAAAATCGCATTTATTTAGTTTCATGATAATTTTGGATTCTTAATGCATTGTATAGGAATAAATCACGTGCTATAGTATTCAGTGCTAGCTGCATCTCTTCAAGTGAGCACCGAAGAACCTGCTGCTCGCAACTTCACTCGTCGATCCGTCTCTGCCCGGTCGAGAGATTCCAGGGTACAGATGCGAATAGCCCAGGCTTATATAAATTACAGAAGCCTGTAATTCAACACTCATATCGGACACCCACCCGTGAGAATTATGTTACCAATTTGAGTCTGCACTGGCTTACATGTTTCTTCATACACATACAATCTGATCTGGTAACTACGGTTGTTGCAACTCACACGAGGGGATGTATGTATTCTGTTGTCCTGATGTGATGAAGACTACAAACGGAGTAAATAATATGAGAGAGGAATCCCACCTAGACCTGTAATTGTGCATTTAGGTTGTGATGGCGCAATCCCTGCCTCGTCCTCTTTCTCCGCGTTGGCCCATGCCTCGTTCCGCCACCGCGGCTGATAATTCACCGCTTATGCCACCTTCAGTGTTAAAGCTTGCTGCTGCTGAATTGAGAATGACCTCATCATCAGCTTCAGTAGTTCCATCGTCATGCAGAGGCGGGGACTATGAACGGAATCATCAGCAAAAACGAAATCCATGGTCGGTTTAAGATTGCATACCAGTGCCTTCCTTGTTGAATTTGATGATGAAACCCTAGTCTCCCGGTCTAGACCACTTTCGTCGTTGGGATTGCTTTCTGTGACTGAACTGTTCTCATCGACACTGATCTCCCTGATGCGAGCCAAGCACTCCTTCTCCAGGGGTTCGTAATCCCATCCGATTTGCGAATTATTCCCCGCCAGGATGAAAAGAATCCACAGCGAAAAGTTCACGGTGAGCTTCTGGAAGTCGTCGAGGCTCTGCCGTGTGTCGCGGTGTACTCCCCACCGGATGGATTTGAACTCCAGCCGCCCTTGCTCTATCATCGACTCCCGGATCAACTCCTCTGAGGGAATGACGGCACTCTCGGGATCTTCTTCTCTCAAGAGGCTGACGCGCACTAGGAGGACTTCTTCACACGTGATAAGGAAGCCATATCGAGCGTTAGCCTCAACACAATACGTGTAGATTTGCCGGAGCGGTCTCGCTTGGTCGTGTATGCTCATGCCATACTTCCAGCATCCTTTGCTGTCGAGATATTTTCCGTTCTTACGCGTCACGTCTTTGCTCTCCCAGTGGCCCTTGATGTCGCTAGGAAGCCGATCTACTGACATATCCTCCACGCGCTTACCCCCGCCATCTGGCTTGAGGCGGCGCATCTTCTTTGGTGCTGGACTCGGCGTGGTAGAGGATGAACGGGATCTTTTCACGCTATTGAGATCCGCCTTGGCTGTCCGGCGCGGGTTCCGCCTGAGATTGTAGTGGTGGCAGGCCTGCTCAGAGGTGTCGCTGTGTTCATCAGAATCTGCCTCCTCGATAGCTGGCTGCGGGTCACGAATGTCAACTTGGTCGGTTTCGGGAAGCTTGTATCGCTTGGTTGTTCCAGTGACCCAGAAAACGGGTCTCAGCGAGTGCCTGACACAGTCAAGGGCAGTGTTGACAACTCGAACTGTCCAGGAGTCGAGTATCCGTTCGCCCGTCCTCTCGTTCTCGTGGAGCCGCTCTTCGGGAACAAGGTCGGGCCCATAACTCATGATCCGAGAAGCCTGGCATTCCGCCCAAAGTTGGGCGCCGAATATTTTTTTTGACATGGAGAAATCAAAGTCCTTCCATTTCTCGACTTTTTTCGGTGTGTACCAGTCTTCATTTCGGCTCTGCGTCGACATCTGTGCAAGCGCGGTCAACCTCGGGTTCTCATGCGTGAGATACTCGAAGATACTATTGGCTGGTGTGCGGACTTGAACCATTTCGTACGGATGGCTGATGCTATAGAGCTATCGCATTACTTGACCGGCGGGAGCTCGATGGCTTCGAGGAAGCGAGGGCAGGCAGCGCCCGGGGAGTCCGAAGTCATACCCACCGGATTTGTACTCATCTTCGCCATGGAAATACATGAGGGTCCCGGACACACCTCATTCCACAGCCTGCATATGGACACAGAGCCTGCAGCTCGTCGACAAATAACAACATCGAACACGTCAAATGGTGCCATGTGTGGTGGACCAGTAAGACTATGCATGAAAAGAAAGGGGACGGTTGGTAAATACGCAACCACAGATCTTCCAGCTTGGCATCGTGGGGTGGGGTTGAAAGCTACATATCTTGTCACCGGCTGCAAGAAGATCCCGTGGCACGTCGCACTGGGGGTGGGAGATGGTGGGTACAACATACCTCCCCACTTCAAGAAGATGAGTAAGGGCGCCGATAACAGCGCGGAAGACCCCGACACAGCCCACGGAAATAGCTAGCTTGTGTTATGAAGACCAGTGGTCATCCCTTAATTAGATGCCAATGCGACACGACGTCTGCGGCACACGATGGGCTGCCGCGGCTCTGGTCGGACTGGAATGTCCCGATGTATGCTTGATAATAAGGAGCGTCCTTTGCTTCGACTAGGGAGCTTGTCAGTTTTACTTGACCCGCTGCACGCTCGCCTCCTTTGGATTCATATCCTCTTCTCCGGCCAAAAATGCAGTGTCGGCTCTATAGCTCGACGAATCTCCGTACTCTCTGGCGGTCGACGCAACTGTACCTACGCCGCCACATAGATTGCCCATAATGGCGAGGAACGTCGCAGAGGACAACTGGCGCCTGATGTCTTCTGCCGAGCTGCCGCCATGTGAAGGACCCAAGCTCCAGGCATTCAAATACCGCTCTGCCCGCATCCATTGGGGAGATTGTATCGGCGGTGACATTGGCTCGCAGTCTTATGTATTCAAGGTGAAGATCAAGTCCAAGACCTATGCGTTGAAAGTTGTATGCTGAATAGATCCGAATTCTTTTATCTCTTGAGCCTTAAGGACTTACAAATGATGCAGTTCAAATTCTTCAAGCCCTCGACCCAGAGGTTCGTTTTGGGTCCCAGATTGGGGAAATTAGTCAGCGACGACGAACTGGCTTTCCACACTGATCCCTTTTTCGCCGAATGTCGGGCCTACAGGCGCATTGAAGAGGCGAGAGCCAAGGAAAAGCGGGTGCGGAAGGTCGTTGCCCGTTGCTATGGATTCCTGGTACTTGGAGCTCGAGATGAGGAGCACCTGAAGAGGAACGGGTTTGATCTCTGGCCTAGTACCATGCTACCTGGCGACGGGTATCGAGCCATGGCCGAGGGGAGCCCAGTTCGTGCCCTCGTGAAGGAGTACATCGAGAGAGACCCAGACCTCGATTTACGCACCATGAACGGGATGCTCAAGGACATCCGGTTCCTCAACAGGCACAAGTGTCTGAACAGAGATATCAAGCGGGACAACTATCGCGACGGGCTGCTGGTGGATTTGGGATGTGCTTGGACCGAACCCCACTGCCTCATCCGCCTGGTGAGTAAGGAGCGCGTGGAGACTTGGAGGATAACGGACAGGGTACAATTCGACATAATGGCGAAGGAACAGGGGTTTGGTGATTTAATTCGTGCGATGCCCAACAGCAGATATCGGCAGAAACTGCGATCAGGAGCACAGGATCGGCAAAATGACGGGACTCAGACGGGAGAGACTTCAAGCGTCTCATCAAGTAGTAGATCGACTGGCGGAAGCAAGCAGAGACAGTAAAACGTGGCCGCCAGCTCTTCTGCTGTGTTCATGGCAAACAGCAGGAACCCAGATAAACATTGCTGTTAAATACATCGATCGATATCAACGCCTAACGTTTGGGACCAGTGGGGCATAGCAAGGGAATCAGCATTGTGTGCTCGCGATACAGTGGTGTTCTAGCAAGCTCTGTTCTATACATTCACATAGCTATCAACCTTTTGTTCCGAGCCCGGTGAGGTAATAAAAGCACAAGATATATCGTCAAGAGGACGAAATTCGAAGCCAGCGAATGACACAGAGTTCGTCTCCCAAGATTACCAAGTATTAGCCACACCGATATGGCTGTTGCCATTTGATACTGTGCAAATGTAAAGTTCCTATGGATTCTGCTGTAATAATCGGAAGAATACACAGATTCCATCTTAACTATCCACTCGAATAGTCCAAAAATGTTCATCACTTTATAGGTTTAATCACCTGTAGTGAGTGAGATTCTCTCGATGCAATTTGAAAGACGCCTGAAACCGTGTGTATAGATCCTTGCCTCAAGTCCTAGTACGAAGGCAAGCGCAAAGCTCATGTTGCAATCTCGATTTCTCAGATGACAGGTTTGAAACGCCTACTCCCCTGGCTAGGGCTGTTAAGTGGTTGACTCAGTGCGTCTCTCAGCAGCACATCATCTTTGTCCTTGTCCACATGGTGGACACGCACGTGTCTAACAGCACCGGCTTGTTAGCATATTATGAGGCACAAAAGCCTGACTCTGTGGAGAAGGAACTTACCGTTGCAGGTTGTCTGGCCTTGGGTATTTACGCTTGCCGTCGGGGCAGAACGGACACATGTATGTAGGAAATAAAAAGCGCTGCTAGTGTGCAGCTTAGAGAGTTTATATATTCTGAAAATGTACCCAGGAGAATCGTGGACCAGGCCATGCCGGATCATCTCAATCTTTCGTTTGAATCCTTTGCCTCCTTCGGCACGGCCACACCCATTAACAGGACAATAATGGGGCCGCGATTGGATCTGGATGTTGGCGTGAGAAGCCAAAAGATATTGAGTGTGAAATGGTGGCGCTCTGCATCCTTCAAATTTACAAATATATTGGTCAACATCTGCAGAGTTTGCGAGAGGCATTATATTTGAAGACGGAGATTCGCATCCACAAAAACGGAGGGTACATCCACACAAGTACCCCCCAATATACAAACACCCAAAATACCTCCTTTTAATTAGCCCTTACCTTACCTAACTCTTTCTTAACTTAATTGCCATTTTATATTTCTTCCCTGGTTGGCAATTAAGTTAAGAAAGGGCCGAATGGGGCGAGGATGAATGGTGCCGATAGGTACCGCCGAGCATCACTTGAGGCCCAACCCGGTACTCTTTGTGTTCCTCCAAGTGAGCGAGATGCGTTGAAGGTACGGAAGTAACTTTGGAAAATGATGGTTGCTTTGGAGAGGCGTTTGTATATTTGGGGGGTATATGTATGGATGTACCCTCCGTTTTTGTGGATGCGAATCTCTCCTTTCTTATATTTTGATCCAGTCCGTCATTGTCTGAGCCAGAATCGTAATCGAAGGCGGGCCTTCTTGTCATGCCGGATGGGGGAAACGGATAGTATGGACTTGGTGGTAGGAGCACAGAGTCAGGTAGGGTCTCTGACGATTCTTCCTCAGTCGGTGGGTCAGGCAGTAGAGGAGATCTCTTGAACATGGCTGAAGGAAAGATTGCCTTAGGTTCTGAGTAATCGCGCAAGGATGGAAGCGATAGCTTGCTGGGTGGAAGGCGCGATCTCTGGACTGTTTCCACAGGTTGTGGACGACTTCGGTTTTGGAGCTGGTCATGAAGTAGTTGGTCATGTTGTTGCAGCCGCTTCCGCTTGTGATCTTGACCTGAATGTGTCGTCAGCTGAGGTGAAGGAATATCGTACGCGACGATGACATACTGGTTGCGGTAGCCTGTTTCTTCTCAGAGGAAGTAAAAGAATCCTTCAGAAATTCCCAAGCCCTGGAAAACCCTCTTTCCACAGCACCTATATAGCGAATAATGTTGAGGTCGGATTCACCCAGGCGGGGCATAGCCGGTATGAAACAATCCTCGTGACCGCTGAACGCCTGCAAGTCTTGTATGGTGTCTGTGCCTACAAGAATGTCCGCATTCAGATTGTCCAGGATGTATAACTCAAGAAGCATCTCTTTGCTTCTGGGAATGAAGCCTTCGACGTCGCTGACGCGGCCGATGGAGAATGCCGTCTTGATCATGCCTATGGTATAGCCTGTGCTCCCATCTGCAAATTCAAGCTCCACACATGAGTCTTCCACATCGAAGACTCGAGAAGCTGCAAATTCTGGGCTCACCAGGTCCAGATCTGATCCTGTGTCGGCTGTGGCGCATCCAACATAGTTGCCGACTCGACAGACAACGTCCCTCTTCGACCGGCCAACGCTGCACACCCGAAGGGCTTGTATCGAGGGAACGAGCTCCTCTACAAGGCGGTCACCGTGTTTCGTCAAAGTTTCTGTGGCCTGGAGGAACTCAATTCCCATAATCATGGGAACTGCTAGAGTCTGGAAGACCTAGAAAACGCATTCCATGAAGGAATTATCCAGAATTTCCTCCCTGAACGCACATTTGAGATAAACCTGACCAACGGCGGAGACTGTTCGGCCGTTCGCCAGCACGAAGGTTGAAGGTGCTGGATGCTGAATATCCATAACTTGGAGGCCGAATTGATCAGCAAGCTTCCGTGACATAATGTTGTCATCTGATCCACTGTCCGGACAAGCGATGACCGACTCCGCATGAGTGTCAGTGAACACCGTCAATGGTAAACCCAGTCTTTTCCTTAGCCTTCTTGGCGCAAGACGAATGGGCTTTGGAGAGCTGTCACCTGTGAGGGATAAAGCCTTCGCTCGGCTTGGTCCCAAACACTCGTGGGATGACGAATCTTGTGCAATGCGTTGGTGGACTTCTAGTTCAGTATCTCTCTCCTGTGAACAGTGGATGTCTGAGCCTTGGCTGTTCGAGTCATCCGGCAACTATGATCAGTGAGGGCTTGTTAGTGGAATACAGGACCATAATTGACAATCAGATACGATTATCACGCACAGGATAGCTGAGGAATTCATTTTCCAAGAGATTGTCAAGTTCCCAAGGCTCATAGTGAGGGTTGATTTTAGGGTCGAAATCCCAAGGCTCCGATGGCGTGGGCCCGTCCAGAGTAAGTTTGCGAGGTACCAGCAGCGGTGAATTTCGGGGAATGACCTCGTCTGGGTCATAGTATTCCATTTCGGTGAGCATGAAGACCTTTTTGACAAGGATTTCACAGATTCTTCATCTGATTTTGGGAGTTTGTGTTCCTGGGCAGTGATATGGGTGAAATGTTTGGAACTGTCCTAAAGTCGATCACGAAACATTCTTAATCTTGAAGGGGGCTAGCCCTGACACGAGATCGCTCTTGTGCTACCACACTGTGTAGCGTAAGAAGTGTAAAAAGTGGCACAGCTATGAAGGGGCTGAGCAGCGAGACATGCTTGGAAGGGTGGGTGGTGAGTGGCTCGCAAGCCCTGATTCTGCAGCACCGGCTGCAGGCTCTGCTCCTGACGTGGCAGCATTGGCTGTACAGCCCCATTTCCTAGCAAGCGACGTCGCCTAATCTAAATGAGTGCGACCACTTCCAGGGGTTCTTGCTGCAGCAAATAGAAAGAAGCCAGGGGCTTTCATCGGGCTTTCATTACACAATCTGCTCTGACACATCTGACATTGGTCCAACGGAATCTGTTTTCCAAGTGAGTCACCATGAAGGTTTGGTCGAGGAGAATCTATCGATTCACTCAATGCTAACGGCGCCCTCAAGGGGAAGTCTTATCCAGAAGTGTACTATCCATACCGACACACGTGCGACATTTATGCTCGGTGATCAGCAACAGGATACTCTGTTTCGTCACGCTGCATGATGACGCTGGGGCCATAGGGCAGACCTGTCCAACCACCAGCGCTGCATTTGATAGACTGGACAGACGTGACAGACGGAGATGTCCTGCAACTAAGCCTTCGTCAATAATCAGGTCAGACCCTTTCTCTGACCAACACTTATCAAGGATGAATTCACCGGGAGATCAAGCCTACATCGATGGATTCCCAGCACTGGCAGCTTTCGTCGCCAGTGATCCAGACCGCTCCACATTTATATACAAAAGATTTGACCGCCTTGCCTCAAGAAACCTTCTCATACTACAAAGTGAGCTGGCAGAAATGCAGTCTCAGCTTGATGCATTTGATAGAGAGGATTGGGCGAGATATCAGAGCAGACGCCCGGGTTACCAGGCTGCTCTTCAAGATCTTCAGAGCTGGGAAGCCTACAAGACAACACATGGTCCCGAATCAGACCGCTTGAAGTTGGTTGCAGAGATCAAAAGGACTCTGAAAGAATATCGCAAGTACATGAATCGACCCAAAGGCTGAACATTACTCACCGCACAGTCCAAGCATTTCTAACGTCTCTAAAGGAGAAGCTTTAATATTCGAAAGTACCCTAGCCTCGGTACCACGACCTGACAGGAATACACTGAAGGCTTTTCGGTCCAACTTCTTCCGAAAACTTGGCAATGAACATTTCGGTACTAGAAGGCCACAGCTCCGAGGTTTATGACGACCCGGATGACCTTGTCGCTCTGCACAACTCTAAGCCGCCAGACAGGCTGACCACATTTGTCAAAAATGACTTGGGTTTTCTATTCAAGGACAAGGCCAACAGCCACTTGAATGAGCATGATTCTATAGGCTACGCCTCAGGGGACAGAATTGCGAACTTTATATCACCTAAGCACCATATTAGCAACACTGCTCCTTGTTGGAGCTATACTGGTTTTGTACAAAGTCAGCAACAATGACCTACGTTTGGGGCTGATCGCCTTGTTCACTGTTATCTTTGCGGCCAGCGTTGGCTTGTTGACAAACGGATCTATGGCGGAGGTGTTTGGAGCAACAGCTGCGTCAGTAATCCCCTTTAGTGTCCAGATGGCTATGCGACGATCTATCGGAGCCAACTTTGCGTTACTAACACGTAACAGTTATGCTGCTGTCCTGGTTGTCTTTGTTAGTGGAAATCTCACAAGTGATTGAGAAGGGGTTTCTTATGTAATGGGACTTGCCTTCCTCACTCTGTACGTCCTCGACTGGAGTAAATCGGCGGCAGTCCCATGAAAGAGGGAGGAACACGCACGCAGACATTGCGTATCAAGGCAACTGGCTTATGGCCCAACACAGCCCTGATAATTCGAGCCCTTGGAGCAGTGACAGGTGCTCTGTCAAAGCCTTGCTCGGAAGAGCCACTGGGCCGGGCATCTAATTACCCATTTGGGTGTCGTCATGGTAGAGTTTTGTCACTCCTCGGCTGATGGCGGTGGGACCAGGCTTGCCAGGCGGCGGATCCGCGGATCTAGGACGACAGCGAGGGCTTGCTGTGGAAGTGGAGCTGACTGTTCAGTGGGCGCTGCGAGCTCTTTAGGGCCTCTGATGAGTACGCGGGGCGAGAGGCGTCTGCATCCATCGCTAGTGTTACTGTCGTACACTGTTCAAACTTGCTGGATGTCGGCCGATATCGACTTGGTCTCAATAACTGGCATGGTGTTTTCGCCTCAGTGTCAGGTATGGACCGGATGTGGGGGGAGAGGCCGCAATTTGAAGTGCCAGACACTTCCTTTGATCACAATCTTCACTTTCCTCTTGTAATCTATAAGTAAAGGAGCAGTTGAGTCAATGGTCAATAGATATACCGCTGAAAGCTCAAGTGGCAAGTGGGGAATGTCGGGGTTAGGGTCGGACATTGTGGCAAGCCCCGGTGGCGACAAATGTTGTTGAGACAAGCGATACGTCCTGTAGGCGGGACAAAGATGCCTAGGTGACGGAAGTTGGACTATGAGCACCATCCTGAACTCACTAACAACTTGGAAGGATCAACCGCACTCATTCAGTGACTCCCAACCAGCCCCAGGCGCCCGTATCTCTTTGGCTACCTACGTATGAGGTAATCTTGACCGGCCCAGGGACGTCGACCCCTCCGACTGCACGCACACTGTCCACCTTCACCAGCACACACTTCACACACAAGCAGTCACCATCACCTCGTCTCACACCATCGACCGACCAGTCAGTCCCAATTGGAATAGCCGAAGGACCTTCACTTCCCATCATACCGGCCGACAGTGGCTTCACTCTTCTCACCCACGAGGCCACTCTCCCGCCTCCCCATTGGCACCTTCCCCACATTGAGACAGCATCAACAAAGACAACCACCACTACTCAGGAGCAGCACCAGGACACTCACAGCAACCACCAGCATGGCCTGGCGCAGCTCCGGCACGTCCAATGCGGAACTGGTCGCGAACCTGTGCCGCAACGGCATGATCAAGGACGACAGGGTCAAGCAAGCCTTCTTGAAGGTGCGTCCACGAACCGTTCATCACATGTTACCACCCCACCACCAGCCCACGACCCCTCGCTCCCTCTCCCTTCCTGATGAGCCATCCGTCAGTCACACTAACAATCCCTAGGTTGACCGCGCTCACTACGCCCCGTCATCCGCCTACAACGATTCACCCCAGTCCATCGGCCACGGCGCCACCATCTCGGCCCCGCACATGCACGCCACCGCCGCCGAGCACCTCCTCAGCTCCCTCCAGCCGCCGGCCGACGACTCCTCCTCCGGCCCCAACCGGCCCCGGCGCGTCCTGGACATCGGCTCCGGGTCGGGCTACCTGACGCACGTGCTGGCGGAGCTCCTGCCGCCGCCGTCGTCCACCCCCGAGGGCGGCAACGGCCCCGCCGCCGTGGTAGGCCTGGAGCACATCCCCGCGCTCAAGGAGATGGGCGAGCGCAACATGTCGCGCAGCGAGGAGGGGCGGGCGCTGCTCGCCAGCGGGCGGGTGCGGTTCCGGGTCGGGGATGGGCGGAAGGGGTGGGTCGAGCCCGGGGAGGAGGAGGCGGGCTGGGACGCGATCCACGTGGGCGCCAGCGCCGTCGAGGTGCATGACGAGCTTATCCAGCAGCTGCGGAGCCCGGGGAGGATGTTCATCCCTGTTGATGACGAGGATGGCGGCGGGGGGCAGCATATCTGGGCTGTTGATAAGGATGCGCAGGGGGTTGTGACGCGGAAGAGGTTGTTTGGGGTGAGGTATGTGCCGTTGACGGATGCGCCTAAGTGAGGGAAAGGGAAGGACAAATGAAGCGGGATGTGCTTTTCTGAAGGATGGTTGAGAGTGGGCTAGCTTGTACGAGACTGGTGGTCGAGCAGGAGGGTCGGTATGGCATTGATTTTGGTCACGGGCGTTCACTCTCTATTGAACCAGTCCGGTATGTTTTGATGTTGGTCGGTCAAGCCTGAATTTAGCAGCAATAGTGGCAATCTTTGCTTCCTGTGTGTTTTGGCACATGCAGACCGTGAGTATGGATGTGTGATGTCCGGCTTGTCTCACTCATCCTCAGGGTGGATGTCACACTTGGACATTTTGGCAGATATTGACTCCCTCAGTCTTGTATCTCATGACACATGCGGTCGTCTCTAGAGGTTCACTGAAAACCTTGTCTGAAGTCTATCACCCCATGTCTACTCCAAATCTACTCTCGCATCCGAATGCGTGCTCAATCCACGGGAACCATGGCCACCAAGCACAGGGCCACCAAGCTTTCCAGCAGAACGTGTCAACAGAGATCACGAATCTCCCAAGCCATGACACGGACAACTGCGCACACACAGCACCACTACTTAGACACAGAGCCCTTCTCAGGCGTAGCAGCCCTCCAGTCCGCCTTGCGATAAGCAAACGGCAACAGCTCGTCCATACTGACGACCCGCAAGCTACCCAGACCACCACCGCCACTACCACCTCCCCGCTCCGCTGCCTCGCCGGCCGGTCCCTTCTTCCTGGTGTTGGTATCGACGATAACCCGGATGTCCGGGTGCAGGTCCATCAGCACCTGCCTGCACCGCCCGCACGGGCTCAGCACCGTGACGCCGTCGTTGCGCACGGCGACCATGTGCGTGAGGGTCCCGGGCGTGCCGCACCCGCCCGCGGCGGCCGTGCCGAGGACCACGAGCTCGGCGCAGGGCCCGCCGTTGAAGTGCGTCACGTTGATCCCCGTGAAGATGGTGTGGCCGTCCGCGCTGAGGGCCGCGGCGCCGACCTGGTCTGCCGGGTGTGGATCAGCGAGTGCTTGCTTGACCGACTGCATAAGGCGCGTGCCATGTGAGTTTTCAACTTACGGGTCGTCTGGTTGGTAGGGTCTACCTTGGCGATGGTCGCGTGGGCGGCTGCGACCAGGGAGTGCACGAGGACCTCTTCGCGGTTGGTGGCGTTGTTGGTCGTGGCTGGGGCTCCGGGCATGTCGGAGATGTCGAGGGGCGCCGAGTTGCCCATGTTCTGGATGACTTCCTCCTCGGGGACGAATCCCGCTGGAGATGGCGATGGTTGTTGCGCCGACATTGCTTCGGATGGTCGGGACGGAGCTGTGAGATGATGCCGAGGTTGACGGCCGGTTCTGTGTGTTGCTCCTGAGGAGCGGTGACAGGAAGGGTAGGATTGTCTCTGGTTGAGTCTGACTTGACACGGTGCGGCACAGAGAGATTGGGCTGGGCTCTGTTGGGTGTTGGTTGTCAGAGCTGAATGTTTGGTGGTGTTTCTGAGCGTTTTCGGAGATCAAAGACAATCTTGGAATGCGCCATCCTGGTTTAGTCCCGAATTGGAAGACAGCTGGTTTCCGGTCTTATATAATAATTAGGGACATTTTGGACCCCAGACTCATCGAGACCAATTGATTCACTTGATTGATGATTATATCACTGCATTTAAGTGAATATGCACCATATTGAATTGCAGACGACAAATCCAAACTCGTACCTAGGCACCGCATCTCAAATTCACTGGGCGCAACAATTATGAATAAATGAAATCTTATAATAGTCATCAGGTTTCACTCAAAAACGTATATACACAGAAATTCGTATCATGAATTTACCGTAAGAAGCATTGGAGTCATAGTCTGGGAAGATATCTTCCAGACAGTAGAAACGCCTGCCTTTCTAATGCTCGAGTACATCATGCACTTGAGCAGGCATCGGGCACTGGGCAGCAGTAGGAACGACGTTGGTCGCGCCGCCAGCACCACATCGGCAGCCCTGCTTGCCCGGGTACTCGGAGCTGCAGGTCCCACCAGGCTCATCTGGGCAGCACCATCCCTGGAAGAGAGAATAAAAGTCAGCAAACACTCCGAGTTAAGATTAGAGACAGAGTTATACTAACATAGCAAGCAGGGTTGAAGCTGTAGCAGTACATCGGCTCGATAGCAGGCGCACTCGTCTCAGCCGCCGCCGTCGACGTGGCAGACGCGGTGGAGGTGACGGTCGCGAACGTCGTCGGCGTGGCGGTGACTACCGTAGAAGAGCTCGAGTTCGATGGCGGCAGCGGGCACGACGCCGCCAGGATGCCGCCCAGGCCCAGCGTGGTGTTCCCAGCTGCCTGGCGTCCCTGGAGCATCATGTCGCGCCTTGCTGCGGGAGCCTCGCCGTCACTCGAGGACCCGTCGTCCTCGACGCACTCGTGCGCGCCGTTGTAGGCCACGTTGTAGCCGCCCTCGACGCGCGCCCAGTGCAGGGAGGTGACTGAGTCCTTGGCGGCCTGGGCGACCTGCGAGGCTGGGAATGCGCCTGTGTAGTCTGGGTGGCCGAGCCAGTAGGCGACCATGCCGGCGACGAGTGGCGCGGCTGTGGGGGTACAAAGGTCAGTATGTCGGTTTCTGTGAATCGCGGTGTGCATTGACCCGGATCATATACTCACCGAAAGAGGTTCCCTGCTTGATCCGGTACGCATCAACTCCCTCGTTGGTAGCACAGACAATACCCACGCCACCAGCCGCAGTCGTGAGGAGCGCACCGCCCTGGGACCAAGACGCGATCTCGCCCTTGTCGTCCACGGCGCCGACGGTGATGAGCGGCAGCTCGTCCGCCAGCATGGGCGGGTAGGTGTTGATGTCGCCGCCGTAGTTGCCCGCCGACAGGATGATCGGCACGTCGAGGCTGACCAGGACGCCGAGCACGCGCCGGAGCCGCGCGATGCCCATCTCGGTGATGGACTCCTCGCTCGCCGTCAGGCTGCACGAGATGACCGCCTTGCCTTTCAGGCCCCTCTGCGCCACGTCCTGGCCGATCATGGCGAAGGCGGCGATCAGCGTGGCGACGTCGTCGTTTGTCATGTCGACGGCTACGAAGTCTGCCTTTGGTGCAGAGCCCTGGTTGTCACACAGTCAGTACAAACAAAAGTTTGAGACGATAATGGGCGTTCCTGTCTGAACATACCGCAGTGTTTCCAACTGCCTTCGACGCCGCACATGTACCGTGGGACTCTGCTCGGTCGCGGAGCCCTCCGCCAGTCATGTCCGGAATGGTGATCTTCCGAGTAGTCCGACCGCCGTCGGTGAACTCCTGATGGTCCATCAAAATGTCACTCTCAATAACATAAACAGAAATGCCAGCCCCGGCGCTCTCATCATAGTCATACGTCGTCCCAGGCTGGCTACCCTCAGCCGTAGAAAGCTGAATCAGATCAAAGTCATCCGTATCAACATTGATGACCGCCCTCTTAGCAAGGTCCTTCAGGCTCCGCCGCGCCGTCTTGGGCGGTGCAACGGTCTCCCCCTCGACCTCCTCAGCCGGCGCGGGCGCGGTCAGGTTGGCGTTCACCATTGTCCCCTCCACGGCGCTGTTGCCCTCGACCTCCCGCAGCTGCGTGTCGGTCAAGTTCGCAACCCACATCAGCGTCGTGTTGGAGTTGCTCGCGGCGTCCAGGACGTCGACCACCTGCGGCACCTCGGGCTTGACGAGGTCCTCGAGCGTGGTCAGGAAGGCCGCTGTGTCCGCGCCGTCGGCAGGGAAGATCATGTACGGCTTGGGCGTGCCCGTCGGCGGCTGGGACGACGTGGGCTGGGACGATGAGGGCGGCTCGGACGAGGTCGGCGGCTCCGAGGTGGGTGGCTCTGATGTCGGGGCCGGGTCGTCGTTGCCCCCTTCTTGGCTGGCTGTTGCTGTTGCCCCTGCTGCGATGGGGATGGCTGCGCCGCCGCTGATGGTGTAGAACCCGCCGCCTGCGCCGCCGAACACCACGACGCCTGGTGCGACATCGACGGTGTCTCCATTGCTTACTGTGACTGTGGTTGGCGGTGCCGATGTGGATGATGGCGGTGATGATCCGGTCCGGGTGATTGGACGTGATGACAGCACGGGTGCTGAGCTTGGTGGTGAGGATGGCACCCGGGATCCACCGGGTTGAAGAGAAGTGTTGTTCCAGCCGCTCTGCGCAAGTGATGGAGCTGCGGCGAGGCACGCTCCTAAGAGAATGGAAAGTCTCATATTGAGAGACAAGAACTGGTAAAGAATGAAAATGCAATCTCGAACCTGGGGATTGAATGAAAGAATGAAGAGCAAGCCTTGACCATCATCATATTTCAGCCATGATAGCGAACCAGTTGGTCGTCTTATACTGTTTACATCTTGACGATTTTCTGCCAGCCTTAGTTGATCTGCAAAAGTCATCCGCAAACGGTACACACGGTGCTATCCCAAGTCATGCGTAGAGCCCAGCCAAGAGGGGCGAAGCGCTCAACGCGCCCAGACTCTGACTCGCGACCGTTGAACAGACTAGAGCCGTCAGCCTTATTGCATCTGATGTCGATTCATCCGATCGTTTCAGGGAGATTATGATGGCATGGGGCTCTCCTATCAAATCCCGACAGTTTGGCCGTGCGTGGAGCCCATGTTGTCGTGCCAAGGATGAGGTTCGCGATTTAGAGTTTGGCCGCACGTATAATTAGCACCAGAGACTTCAGATAAACATGTGCTTGTCACCTGTCTAAACAAGGGTCTGAATTGTTCTTATTTTGCTAGCCCGCTTGTTCCTGGAATCGTCCACTCGGGCCACTTATTTAGTCCGACTAACCGAGTCTGGAGCCGTGAGGGTGTTTAACCCCACGCCGACTACATGTTATCTTTGCTTGAGAGCTGCGGGTAGATCAGCAATGAAAAATTTGAGTATAGACCCCTGGACCATGAGTCCGAATGCGCAGATAGGCCCCAAGATACAAAACACGGTAAAGCCATACGATGCACTTTGAAATTTGGCATCGCGCTGGAGCCGCTCCGTCGCGAGGCCGACCTGCATCGCAGCCAACACTACAGCGACGAAGACAGCAGTACCAGCCATCCACGCAAGGTTGTCGCGGTGGAAGCTGCCGTAATTATTCCAGCCCCGGAGGTATGATTGGAAAGGCGGAAGGCGAGTGCAGCGGTTGATTGTGTTGATCCGGGAGAGACGAAGCTCAGCGCGCAGGAAGCGAGGGTGGACGTTATCTGGATCATGCGCGTTAAGGAGTCCTCTAGCCATGTTTTTCCATTCGTCCCACTCAATCGTTGCGTCCATCGCTTTCCGAGGCAAGAGACGTTTCTCGTTGGCAAGGAAGAAGTCGGTCTCTGATGAAATCAAACAGGCATAGGTGTAGAGAAAGCCGAGGGCGACCTTTCGCAGCTCGTCCCTACACCAGGGCGCCGAAAAGCCTGGGCACATGCAACCATAGGGGCACCTTAAGTTTCTTTGCCAGAAGTCCGGGTCGAACAGGAACCTTGGTATGGGCTTCAGAAAGATTTTCCCGTCCTTGTCCCAGACTAGATGCAAGTCCATCCGGTCGACAACGACAATCTCGCGGCCTACAGCGATTTGAAAATGCAATTGCCTTGGGGCATGCTTTGCGCCAGCAAACCATAGATGCTGAAGCATTTCACCCAAGCGCCCCAAAGATAATTCGTTGCGTAAAAAGGCCGATATGTCCTTGTCCGGATCAGAGACGATGCACTTTCCACTGGCGTTATAGTAATGGTAAGAAGCTGGCAGGAGATCTTTGGCGTCATTATTGATTCCCGGCACTGCGGATGTGAAATGTAAGACGTCTATTCAGGATTCCAAGGCTTTGAAAACACTCTGGAATAATTCTGACGTACTGGCCAGATGATGGAATCTCTTGATTGCTTAGCCATATCTTTTGAGCGTGGGCGTCACTGGTTTATGTGTCGATTGGATGCATGCAGGTTTCGAGCGGCCTGGCAGTTGTGTCCTTGATATAGTTAAACGAGACTCAGCCCACCGACTATTTATGCGGTGCTTATATCTACACTCGTGGCTGCATCTCGTTGGCTAAAATCAGCGCCCAGACCGGCCGCAGATAATGGGGTATGCACGCGTTGTGGCATTGAGGAGAGGGAGATCCTTGAAAGAACAAAAGGGGCTATCTTTTTTGGTGTCCCGAGCCAGGGCATGAACATGTCAGACATTTTTGGGATGCTAGAAAATCAGCCGAACGTTGATTTGGTGAACGGCCTCTCGAACCAGTCAGACTTCTTGCCCAGACTGGATGAGCAGTTTGGGAACATCTCCTATCTCTAGAGGCTCCAGTTCTTCTGGGCGTTCGTGACGAAAGTTACGCCGATTGTGGGAGTAAGTCCATTTCTAAACAAATTATTTTCAGTACATACGTTCTGCGAAAACAACTAAATGAATGACAGAAGGCCTCCACACCGGGCAAGTTTACAAGGACTGGTCCTGGAACCGTGATGGTGTCGCGGGAATTTGCAACCAGAAATTCCTGGCATTCTCAACCTTCATCAACCCTACGAAAACCAAGTATTGATATAGCTAATACTTAACCTTAACGCTATTAACTTAAAAGAAATTTAAATTTAAAACCATTTCCTTAATTAATATTTATTATTATTTTATATAACCATTGAAAAATGTTAAAATGAAAGCAAATTTAATGTATATAATAAAATAAATAATATAAAGAAATATAACGTGGTTTACCACTAAGTGGCGGATATTACCAAGTGGCGGATTTTTATAGCTTTTTGCGGGGAATGCAGGGAAAAGGTACTTAAAGAGCTGTTAAGAAATGCTAATAAATCTAAGCTATTTACTATTAAATTTTAAGTATAATTATCTTTATAAAAGATTTAATTTTAACCTAAAATATAATATATATTTTAAAATATATAATAAGGTATATATAGTAAAATTTGCATCCTTTTTAAGTTATTATTAAGTAAGGTGCATAGGCTAATTTCGCTTATTTTTTTGCTTTATTATGGCTATACCTTAAATCTTAGTTTTTAATTTAATTTAAAATAGCTGTAACCCTATAACCCTAACCCTAAAGCTATATAAAAACCTTATTTAAAAGAGGTGTTATTTAATGATATAATTTTTATTTTAATATTTAAATTTAATTAAAATATAATTAATATTTAAACTTAGCTAAGTTGTAAAAAATCCGCTACTTAGTGATATCCGCTACTTGGTGGTAAACCACGTTAATATAAATATTTTTTTAAAAAGTTTAAATTTATTTCTTTATTATTAACAATTAAACCATATCTTGGAAAATGAATAATTAGTTAAAAAGTAAGGGTAAAAAAGAAGGGTTTAACATTCTTTTATTAAAGGATTATTGTTAAATATATCAAGTTATATAACTTTATAAAAGAGCTTAAAGCTGCTATGGAATAGTTTAAAAGCTAAGAAGATAGTAAATAAACTAATGAATAATTGATTTTAAAAAACATAGTGTGGCCGAAGCCCCAATTGACTTGAATTGACGTATTTGAGGCCAGCTGCTATGTCTCTGAACCCTTTTGTGGCATCCAAGATGGGATGTCTCGGCAGACTAACATCGGAAGTCGACCCCCATCCTTTCCCACTATGGTATCTTTGGAATTAATGTCGGCATCTGCTTCCCCCAGCAGCTTAATGACGGCTTCGTCACTGATAGTATTCTTATTCGATAACGCCCACGAGAGTGGCGTCCGACCGTCCTTATCTTTCGACTCAACATCGGCACCTCTCTCAACCAGTAACCTAGCGACCTCTGATCCAGAGGTTCCAGCAGCCCATGACAGCGGCGTCCGGCCATAGTTGTCCCTCAAATCAACGTCGGCACCTCCCGTAAGCAGTAGCTTGGCGATGTCTGCCCCGTCATGATACGTTCCAGCAGCCCAGGACAACTCCGTCCGGCCGTCTACATTCTTCGACTTGACATCTGCACCTTTCTCGAGCAGCAACTTGACAACGGCAACATGTCATTTGCTTGCAGCATATGATAGCGGTGTCTCACACCAGCGGCGGCTTGGCTGTGTATTAGCGCCTCTATCGAGCAACAACTTGACGATAGCTTCATGTCCTTGCCCGACGGCACACCTCAGCGGCGCATCCAACCACCTACTCTTCTGATCGACATGGGAAATTCTTTGGAGCAGAAGCCTGACTAGGGCCTCATGGCCTTTCCAAGCAGCCAGCGTTAGCGGGTGGTCTAGACTATCACTGCCGCTCGAGTTCACAGGCTCGCCATGGCTGCGCGAACTGAGGAGAAAAGCAAGGGCTACAGCTTCCTGATTGTGGTCAATAAGATCATGCAGAATACCTTTTCGTCGTGTGAAAGTCAAGTCGCCGTTGAATTTGGAGGCTTTGTCCACAGGCTGCTGATACTGTTCACAGAGCCCGTGAAGCGGAGACGTTGGTGGCTCGTTCTCCGCCTGGGTCCTGAGAAATGTCCGGACCGCTTCATGACTACCATTAGCCAACGCGGCGAGAATCGGTGCACCGCAACGCCCAGCTTCAATTTGGAAGCAAAACTTCCTCCGAGAATGGTTGCGTATAAGGTCGGCCAGGTTATCCTTCCCAAAGATGTAGAGGAGACTGACTGAGTCGGTTAATCGCCGGTTGTCATATTGTTCCAGAGCGTTGTGGATGGGAATCCATCGTTGCAGAGGAAAACCGGAAAGGAATGGTCCCTGATCGATTCCATTGCCTTGAGCGAGGTTGGAGTGATGGAAAATGTTATGAACGGAGTATTTGAGAAACGGATACCTCAAGCTGATGGTGTTCCGCAGCTGTTCTGCATGTGAAGCCCGTGGTAAAGGATCTGGTATCTCGACTTGCTGGCTGATCGAAGCATTCAGCTGGGCAAGGCAGCAGTCTCTCAAAACTTGGTGCCCATGGCCCTTGAGATTTTCGGAGGTCCCTGACCACTGGTTTCCGTAATTACCAAGCAAAAAGCCTCGAACGGACTCGTGGATAAATTGGACTTCGGAGGCCTTGTTCCGCGTCACTTCAGCCAGGCCTTTGGAAAAACTTCTCACAAAAGTCTTCATATCGTCCAAGTCCAAATCTGCTTTGTCCCAAAAGCCCGAGCACTTCTTGTCGGAACCAAGCTGGATGGCGAAGTAGAGCTCCTGGGGCTTAAGAGCACGGCTTGCGAAGAGAATCCAGTTGAGACAAAGCTGCAGCTGTTCGAGGTTCTCTCCATCCCGGGAAAGTAATCATCTGAAACAGGTCGTTCAGTTTCGGCGGGATTTCATGGAGACGTTCGCGTAGCTTCTGGATGGAGATGGATTTGTCATTGTTGAGCATATGAAGAACCAGGACGACCCAAAGGAATATTCCGGAAGACTTGCCCAGGATTTCGGAGCGGAGTGCCTCGACGTGCTTGGACTTTGATTTAAGTCTCAGCCTCGACTTGACATATTTCCGGGTATCCTCCGTATGCCCGATCTCGTCTTCCAAGCTAACTTCGATGCCCTTCTTGATGACGACAGTCGGATAATAACGACTGGAAAAGCAGATCTGCATCTGAACCCTCGTTTCCGCTGCGTAGTCACACAGCTCTTCAAAAAAAGAGACCACGTCATCGGCCTTGCTTTCATCGCACTCATCCAGCGCATCAACGAACATCGTCAAAGACCGATTCCCAAGTTTGGGAACAGCATACTTCAACGTTTGCTTCAACGCTTGCTCGGACCACTCATTCCTTTGGATCGTTCTGGCACCATCAACTGTCATCCACTCCAGACTGTCTTTGAGATCCGATGCTATTCCGAAGAGCTGATGAAGAAGAGAGCGGTAAAGACCCATCGTATTCTTCTCCTCGGCCGTGCCTCGGGCAAGAAAGAAGAACGACAGAGTTATTCGCGACGGATCGTCCTTTAAGTTGACTTTGGTCTCTTCGAAGAGGTGTTTCATCAAAGTTGATTTTCCGGTGCCTGGATTGCCTTTGATCCAAAGGAAGCCACCGTGCTCTGGTATTTGTGCCACATATTGCCAAGATTTGTACTTGGAGTCGGCGAGGAACCAACGGCAGGTCGTTCCTTGGGCAGGCGTTAAGTGTGTCAGGCGCTCATCAATCTTGGAGAAGTAGAGTTGATGTATGAGTTCCTGTTTGATATTCCTCATCCCATCGCATGACACTGAATCGCGTAAGGCGTGGTCGTCGGCGGCTTGTGGATGGCAGTTTTCCGGTGAATGGCTGGTCAGCCGAGGCAACTTCCCAACCGGGAACGGAAGCATCTCGTCAGCGGGTCTCTTGGCCGAGTTGTTGACCTGCTTTTCTCCAGTCAGACTTCTTTGTTGACCGTTAACCGAGTTTCGCTTTTGCGGGTCCCGTATGACCTGAGGAATTTGGAACTCCTTCTCTTGGATTCTATAGCGGGTAGACATTTCTTGCATCTGCTTCAGGATGTAGGCAACGCTTTCGTACTCGGCATCGTGGGACGAGAATTTGACTAAATCTGAGTGATTCCGACGAAGGGCTATGGAGTGGGCCGAAGAAGCACCAGCAGGCGGACAGCTAGTTGCAGAAGGCTGGCTGACGAGGAATCGGGCCGGACCGTCCAGCTTCCATCGTCCGGTTGCTGGTTCCTGCAACACACTTAGCATCAAAGACGTTTCTTGCAGTACCGGGTATGTCTACATACCTGAGTAGCTGTTGGTGATAGTTCTGTCTCGTACAAGCAGAACAGCTGGAGCTTTGTGCGCTCCAGGACTTTCGAGAACTCCTGTCTCTGGCGCCTAAGCACTTGGGAGTTCTTGCAATTGAGTGACTCGAGAATGAACCGATTTGGCTGATCGTTCACAATGGGAACAAGAAATTCGATGTCTAAGCCATCATTGGGAGTCACGAAGAGGAGTATTCCCGTGATCATGTGGAGGAGGTTAGGGAGGCCATTTTCGAAGCTTGGCTCAGCGATTCGAATCAATGCCTGTTTGACCAACAACCCGCCGAGGCTATGACCAATGAGAAGAAGGGGCTTTGTCTTGTCGGTTGGCAATATTTGACTGATAGCAATCTGGAGCGGGCCAGCTAGATCATCGAGTTGAACATGGCTCTTACTATCCGCCAGCTGGCTCTCGTAGCCAAAGATCATCACTCTGGCGGTAGGTATGTCTCGTGGAAGATTGTTCGTCAACCACATATTTCCATCCTCCTTGTGCACGAAGGATCCAAAGGGATGGCTGCCTAGGCCGGAAACGGCAAGCACATCGATCTGATGCTCCTCGTCTGTGGCGGGCGAAAATAGTGTTGTGATGCCATCAAAATGGTCACCAATGAAGACCTCAGACACACAATGACAGTTTTCTATCAGTCGCGGGTTCTCCGAGCCTGTATTGATCTTGACAGGCAACTGGCCCCTGGCTCGAAGTGCACATAGTTGTGATGGGAGGTTGTGGAAACAGACGGTGGCTACCTGATAGTCGACTCGGAGATCGGGTGCGAGGGTACGAATAATTACATCGTTGCCACCGTTCTCGGAATCCTCCAGTCTATCGCCGCCCGGCCATTGTAGATCTGAGTGGTGTCGGAGAGCTCGAGCCAGCCAGTCTCGGTAGAAGTCGCGTGGTATGCCGCGGATTCTCCAGGTGCGACGATTAGAATGCATGACGGGATGACGAGGAGAACGGCAAGCTGTCAACTGACCAACTCGGATTAATCGTTAGCTGAAACATGGCAATGACGGTGGTGCCTGTAACGTCCCCGGCCCCGTTTCCGATCACCCTTTGATCCTGATTACCTCGGCACTCACACACTCCCCTATTATTACCCTTAATTACCCGTCACCACAATGCATAATCCCTTTTCTATTAATATTTTTAATTCTCTAAAGGCATTGCTTTCTTTTAATACCCTTTTTATCTTTATTTAAGCTTTATAAATAGCCTTAATATTAATAAAAGCTATATTTAGGTTAATTTAAACCCTTTTTTTTATAATTCTTTAGCTAACTTTAATTTAAGCTTTAAGCTATTAATTTTTTTATAAAGTTATTATTAATTAAGTTTCTTTCTTATTATATACTTTAAGAAATTTTTTAAAAAATACTTATAATATAAGGCTTAAATATTTATTATAATATTAATAAGTAATTAATTAATATACTTTTTATAATTACTTAAAAGTTTTAAAAATAAACTTTAATTATTAAAAAAGAATCTTTAATATAAAGAATTATGTAATAAAGCTCTTTATATTATTAAATTTTAATAATTTATACTAAATTTAATAATTTTTAAGAATATAATAACTTTTAAGTATTTTATACTTAAATATTAGCTAAAAACCCATTACTTTTTACCTTAATTAAATATTTAACTTTATAAATACCTCCTTTTATACCTTATAATAATAATAAAAAAACCTTTTTTTTACTATAATTATTAATAAATTATATTACTTAAGTTAATAAAAATGCTTTTTAAAAGCATTTTTTAAAAGTAAAAAGATTATTATATTAAGGGGCTAAAGTATATATAATATATATATAAGTAAAAAAACTATATATATATAATTTAAATAATATTTTTATATAAAGTTAATAATTATATATATATAATGCTTATTAATTATAAGTAAATGCTATTTAAAAGGGTTGCTAAAGGTAATATTAAAAATAAAAACTTTCCTTAATTATTTAATAGCTATTCTTTCTTTTATTTACTCTTTTTTAATAGCTATAAATTATTAATTAAAATAATCCTTAAGGGTAATTAAAAACTATTATTATTATATACTTTTTCCCTTAAAAATAATAAAAGATTTAAGAACTTTGCTTAAGGTATTAATATACTTTATAAAGGAGGTTTATACTTAAGAATTAAAGTCCTTTTAAAGAAAAAAATTATTCTTTAAATAACTAAAAATAAAAGCATTCTTTAAGTAACCCTTTATTAGCCCTTCTTTATTAATATTTTATTAATAAGCTAATTAAATAAACTTAATAATAAGTAGTTAAAAAAGGTTAAATTAAAAGGTAATATTTTTTTTAATTATTAATAAAAATAAATAACCTTTATATATTAATTTTTTTAGCTTTAAAAAATAAGGTAAAAAAAAAAAAAAAAGCCCTTAGTTAATTTCTTTTAAGAAAAGGGTAATCTTTATTTAAAAAGGCTAATTAAGTTTTTAAAGCCTTTATTTTAAATTATATTAATATTAACCTTAAGCTACTTTAATTAATTATAAATAAAGTTAATAAAGCCTTTTAATAATTAAAAAAAAGCCTTTAAGAATTAATAATAATATAATAATTTTAAATATTATTAAGGTAATTATATAATATAATAAAAAAAATATGCTAAATCTTAATAACTTATTAAATTAATATCTTATCCTTAATAATAATAAAAATATTAATAATATTATCTTTAAAATATAGCTTTATAATAAGGAGGTTAATATTTAAGAAAAGTTTAATAATTAGAAAAAAATTCCTTATAAAGATATTAAGGAGTGTTTATATGGTAAGTATAAATGCGTTTATGCGCATACGTGGGTATGGGGCGATCGGGATTAGGGGGTGATCGGAAACGGGGCCGGGGACATTAACATACCTTAAGTAGAACCTGTATGACCGCAGGTTACAGATGATGTCATGATGGATTGGATGTTCCGTGCTCCACTGTCGTGCGTTTCATTCGTATCTATGCAAGGGACTAAGAGCAAATATCAGGCGGAGTCTGCAAACTGAGCTATGTAGTTCCGTAGATGGCAGAGGAGTATCGCCATGAGGAAAGATCCAGCCGCAGGCTAACATTTTGACGAGCGTGGTTCAAATCGGTTGAGCATCACAGCCACTCTCCTGGGGTCCTTTCTGTGGCTGACTACATCTCATGTCGTACGAGACTTCGGCAACAAACGGGGTGTTTGCCAAGAAGTTCAATCCGCAGATGAAGCTGAAGGTCTTTGTCAATGCTAAGCCAACACCATGAAGTCACGGCTGCCGCGAATCACCCTTTTAAACTATAACAACGAATTCTTTGCGGCCAAATGGACTGTATGGAAGCAATAGCGCCAGAGGGAACGTGTTACAGTACGCCACGGTAATGCTCTCGGCATTACAACGTCCCTCTTTTGGGTGTCTAGCGCAATAGGCTTTCTTGTGCCGTGACAGAACACTCGATCATTTACTACTTTGACGAAGCTCTCCTCGAAATAGAGCCTGTGAGTAATGGGGTTGTGATCAATAAGCCGTAGAAAATAGGAAGCAATGAGTCTTCCTGCCATGGCATTGGCAAAGGGTGAGAATCACTTTCCAAGTTAAGACCAGAACAGGCTGTTGTGAACAATGGTATGGAGGTGGATCGATATTTGCGAGAGTCAATGGCCACTTGAGCAACTCAGGCCTGTAAGAAATAAAAAGCGCTGCCAGTGTGCAGCTTAGAGAGTTTATATATTCTGACATCCCCCCTTAACCTATACACTGGGTTTATAATTATTAGGTTAGAATTATTGATTGCTTAGGGACTTAAACGCATAACCTCATGTGATCTTGGTATTAAAGTAAAGACCCTGGGTTGCTAAGCCAAGTAGAAACCTCCGTATTATTAATCAATTAAAGTTTGTTGCTCTTCCCAATAAGCCATCCGGGCTTATAACCTGTAAGAAATAAAAAGCGCTGCCAGTGTGCAGCTTAGAGAGTTTATATATTCTGACAAGGCCTCGGTGCACGCCATCGGGTTCGGGACCCATCGACAGCGAAATATTATCGTTGTTGGCTTTAGTGTTTTCATCGCGGCTTCCTGTCCAAATCTAATTCAAGAACTGCACAAAGCTATGCTGCCAGTTCAACTCGTGCCTCAACTCATGGACGAGCGTCTGGATGTCTCCCTCGGTGGAGCCCGAGGAGACGCACACCTGGTGGGGCCCGTCTTTGGGACGATCAAACATGACCGTTGACAGCATCATTCCGCGTCCCGTCTTGTCCCTCATGCCCCACTCCCACTCGGCCACGGGTGTGCGTACTACAGCAATGGCTCGTCGCCACTCGCCGTTGAGCACGTCGTAGCGCTGGATGTACCACTCCTTGCCGCTGTTTTCTCGTGCGGCGATCTCGGCCCACTGGTGCGCGACACAGCGCTGCACGGCGGCATCTGCTTCGGCCAGGGTGGCAAAAAGTCCGTCCTTGATGGCTTCCTCCTCCGAGTCTGTTGCTGTCGCAGGCGGTAGGGAGTAGACGTCCAGGCGCTCGTGGTTGGCGCCAGAGGTACTGAATCGGTCCTTGAGCACGGCTGTTTCGAGCGTGCGCGCGACCGTCTCCAGCTCGTTGGGAGTGGTGAGAGAGGCGGTGCAGTAGACTTGCAGAGAGGGTCGGGGGGCGCGGCTCTGTTGGTACGGCGTCGGTGTCACTGGGTTCCTCGGGGTCGGGAATCGGTCGCCGTGAGGGTGTGTACACGCTGACGAGCGGTACGGAGGGGTCCGAGTGCGACGCGAGAGTTTCAAGCCGTGGGCCCGGATTAGGACGTTGGACAGGCATCTCTTTGGTTGTGACTGCAGGTCGTGCTTGAGTCTGCCATCAATTTGCTTACAAGGCACAGCAGTCCCACAATATGGACGGCAGAAGCCGGAGGAGCGTTGACCCACAATCCCCTGCGCGTCTTCCTAGTTTACATTTTTTAGACCCTGCACTGAGATACCGCACATGAATCTCTTCTTTTCCACCGAGACCTTCAGCCCTTCTACTGCTATGGGTTCTGGCCATGTCAATCTTCATTGGTGCAGAGGCGTTTCAAAACCGTTGTTCCGCTACTTCCACTCAGATCACAAGCACACCTTTTCCCTGTTGATTCACACCCGATTCGTCACAAATACATCCTCCCGGTGAATAATACCGTGATTCACTATGAAGTCGAAGTCATCGACCTCGGATTCTGCAGTCACCAAGGATGCCCAGCCACACGCTTCGTCTGTTGTGAGAACACCTTGCCCATACGAACAGGGCAAGTCAGTCGACCTCTTGGTGACAAAGACATTTACTGACGAAATCGATGTTGGCCAATTGAGTGTAAATGTGACCAACCTCTATTCGATGACGGTCTCACCAGTGACGGAAATTGTCTACAAGAAAAAGTCGGGAGGAACACACGAAAGGGTGTTCTCAAAGTGTTTGACCGCAGATTCGGGCAGTCATTCCGCAAGGTCCCCTGGCTGCGCCAGTTAGAGTATCTGGAGCACACTGTGAACGCAGAAGAAGCTTGGCGTGGTTGCGTCCGCGATGGCAAGGCAGAAGCATTGTTCGAAGAGATCAGGACGAACCACAACACACTTCCGTGCGGCCCGGCAAAGTACTTCATGCAACGGAGGCCGGATCGAAAGGCCAGGTGGGAGGGGGCGCTACAGTACAACTGCCTTCGGTTCTTTGAAAACGAGACCAGGGCCTACGAGAAACTGGCCGACATCCAGGGGCGAAGCATCCCAAAACTTGTTGCCCATGTGCGCGTCCTCTTGGAGGCTGATCATCTCAATACCGAGGGGACGGAAGTGCAAAGCTTTTTCGCGTCAATGGGATCATCATGGAGCAGATAGAAGGGTTTAGCCTCGATAGCCTCCTCTGGAGCCCTTTGCCAGTGGACACATGGGAGGACGTTTTGCAGCGGACTGTCGACTCGGCCAACGAAATCAACATCCGTGGGGTTGTCATGAGCGATTGTCAACCTGACAATGTGATAGTCCAAACGAGTAGCGGGACACCGATCTTTCATGATTTCGCGCGAGCCAGGACTTGGGATCCGAAGGAAAACGATAAATGCATTGAAGCAGTCTGTCAGTAACTAACAATCCGAAACATAGCGTCCGGTCGCTGGTGACCTGTGTGGAGGAGGAGAAAGGGATCAAGCTGAGGATAGAGTATCCGGATTTGCACTGCATATTCAGCCTGTAGACCGAGGAGAGCAGGTGAGTAAAGAAATAGGAATAAGACAGAACTTCACTTTTGCGGATGATAGGGTTACTTGAAGATGGAATAAAGTAGACATGCAGACATTAAACCTTCAGATGGACACCTAAATACGTACAGGACGTTGACAGTCTCCCTGATCCTAGCCTAGTTGTACCTTCTCTACGGCTGACCAAGTATCCCCATCAAGCTTTTGACATTAATGTCTCCCAAATTAGCCACCAGAGCTGCAACCTTTTCAGCCGCATCCTCCCCATGAGCTGGCACGTACAGCCTCTTGAACTTCGCCTTGACACCATCCCAATCGATGGGCCTCTCCTTCTCCCCAAGTGGAAGCATGCACTCTTTCCTAACATCAGTTCCATCTGACCATTCCACCTTCAGTGTGCTTCCAAACGACTTTAGTGACTCGTCAACCTCGACGGTGATCTTTGAGCACAGCTCCTTCACGGCAGGATCGCTCCTCTTTTCATACACCGCCCATCCAAGATCAAGGCCGTAGAGATACGAAGTGGCAGTCTGGTAGTAGCTGCTGAATTGAGCATCGACGACAGTCTCGGGATGGACCTTGTTCGGCTGAGGTGCACCAACGATTCCAAAGCACGGCTTGGGCAGACCAACAACCATCTTGACGACTTCCTTGCCCTCGTTTCTCGCAACACTTCCAATCTCCGCAGCCATCTCAATTTGACCATGCGTCATCCTGCAGGCGGGGAAGGGCTTGATGGCAGTCACGACCAGCTCCCACCTCTCCCCCAGATCATGCACAGCAAGGGCGTTAAAATCCGCATTCTCGGCGTACGAGTTCAAAAGCCCGTTCCGTCCCTCGATGGCCTCAGAAGCACCAACGACCCCGGCCTCCGCCAGCTTGACGCACAGCAACGCATCCGCGGCCGCAAAGCCGGCATGCAGCCGCTTGTTCCAGCTCCCATTCTCAAGGTACTGCATGCTCCCCGAGGCCTTGGACACCGCCAGCCCGAAAGCGTTCTCCACCTCCGCGGCGGACAGGCCGCGCAGGCTGGAGATGGCCGCCACGGCGCCGAAGATGCCGCACGTCGCGGTGTTGTGGAACCCCGCCGCGTAGCCGCCCACGCCGGCGGCCTTGGAGACCCTGCATACGGTCTCGTACCCCACCGCGAGGGCGGCGAGGAGGTGGCCGCGCGCGAGGTCGGGCCTGTTCTCCGCCTCCGCCAAGGCGGCGGTGATGACTGTCACGCCTGGGTGGAGGGGCCCCGGGGCGTAGGTGTCGTCGAAGTCGAGGGAGTGTGAGAAGGCGCCGTTGAGGAGGGAGGCGGTTGACTGGGTGAACGTGGAGCCGTTGCCGAATATGGTCGAGTTTCCGGACTCTCCGACGCTCAGCCTTTTGAGCGCGGCGAGGAATGCTGGGGTTGAGTCGGCGTAGCTGACGCCTCCTATGGCCACGCCGATGTAGTCGAGGACCAGCTTCTTTAGAGTTTCGGTGACCTCATCGGGGACGGACGAGGGGCCAAACGTAGAGACGAAATGCGCGAACGCCTTGGTTGGGGACCGGACTGGGGAACCATTGTTCCCATTTTGATGGGCAAGAGGCTTTGACGGTTGTTCTGAAGCCATGTTGTTGACTGGATCTGGGAACGAGTAATGTGGTTCAGTTACCGTGTCGTGCGAAGACTTCTAGAGAATGGAGTTTCTCCATCTCGAGAGTTGCCGGCATTTTAGTATCCGGGTATTCCTAGCCTTTGCGTTACACCCGGCCATATAGCCGACCGGCGAGCACTACCGTTTCTCTACGGGAGGGGGTCTTGGGAGTTGGAGACACCGTCCGCCGAGGCCGTCCCGAACCCAAGCGTATTGTGGAGGCCTATTGTCGTTGCTGGACATGCACAGCGACAGTCCTCGGCGTTTCATCTGATTTTGTGTTGGTATCTATGGCAGTGAATGGGGATCACCTGCGAATAGGCCGTACTAGTGAATAGGGTGTACCAGTAAAGAGAGGGTTGAATAGGATGTGCTAGTTAATAGGGTGTACAGGTGATTAGGGAGCCAGAGTATGCCCACCTAGCTTCCAGAGTATGCCCACCTAGCTTCCATAGCACGCCCACCTAGCTTCCAGCGTGTGCCTATCTAGTACTTCTTTTTTTTAGTATTATATTAATAAGATTAAATATTTTTTTAAATAAGCATAAAGTTTACCTTATATATAAAAAGCTAAGGTAATTATTTTTTAATTTAAATAATACTTTTAAAATATAAGCTTAAAAAGCTTAAAGGGTATAAATAACTTAAAAGGCTTAAAGGGCCTTAAAGCACCTAAAGGGCTGCAAAGGGCGTAAAGGGCAAAGAGGGCATAAAGAGTAAAAAGGGTGCAAAGGGTAAAGGGTAAAGGGTAAAAGTAATTTTTAAGTTATAAATAAAGAGGTAGCTATAAAACCCTTTTAAAATAACTATAGCTATACTTTATTAATAACCTTATAATATTAATATTTTATAATGCGTATAACCAATTTCCTTATACTAAGTAGGCCAACGTTGGAAGCTGGGTGGGCGTACTGTGGAAGCTGGGTGGGCGTACTGTGGAAGCTGGGTGGGCGTACCCTGGCTCGTGATTAGGGGGTACTAGTGAAAGGGGGGTGGGGTTACTCACCCTATGTACGGCTTCACTTCAGGCATAAACAATCGCATGTTTGCCAGACCCAGTCTGTCCTGCCACATTATCAGCATCATTATCCAAGATGTGGTGCATGGGAATGATTGTCCAATGGCATGGAATATTTGCACCATGCCTTGTGCAGCAAGCGGGAAATTATCGAACTCTGGAACTTGGTAATCAGACATGTTCTCACTGGCTGCTGTGTTGAATAAAGAGGGGACCATGGCTGACGAAAGTAAGTGCTGCGATAACTCTACCTGGTGATTTTTATGTTTTTATATCCTTGCAGGCCTCAATGATCTATAGGTAGGTGTCTTTCCAAATAGTCCTCTATGAAAATGCTCTTCCGCAGTTTATGAGGGTCTCGTGTCATTCGAATGAAACACATTGCCTCTCTGAGCCACATAAACCTCAATATCATGCAACACCGCAAGAACATAACGACCTCTCAACAAGCACGCTGGCTCTCGCCTCAGTCTCCCAGAGGGTATGCGTTGAGGACTTGCCCGTAGTACAGCTCGGAATCCTTCCCGGCCAAGAAAACAAAGCTAGGTGCCACCTCGCTCGGCTGACCGGGTCTACCAATCCCAGACTGTTCCTTGCCGAAGCCCTCTAACTGCTCCGCCGGCCGTGATGCGGCCTGGATAGGGGTATGAACTGGGCCTGGAGCCACCGCGTTGACTCTGATGCCCTTGGGCATAAGCTGTTTCCCCAGCGACCGCGTGAATGATACGATGGCACCTTTTGTGGTTGAGTAGTCCACGGTCGTCGGGCTGCCTTTGAAAGCCTGTGTGGAGGTGGTGTTGATGATTCTGGAGCAAATTGTATGTAATTAGCTAGGATGCAACGGTAGATATGTCACACATATTTTACAGGCCAAATTCACCATTGAGACTGACCCTGTGTAAATGTAATCAGGGTGTCGGATGGTAGTTTGATATGTCAAGCCAATGAATGCCACGTCTGGGCTTGGTGTTCAGGTCTGTTGTGGGAGTTGAGGCATGGACTTACGAGGCACCCTTCTCCATGTGCGGGAGAGCGTATTTCGTCACAGCAAACATTTGCAGTATGTTGCTCCGAAATGTGCTTTCCACATTATCGAGATCAATGTCAGCGAAATTGTCACACATGATCTGTTTTGACGCATTGTTGACGAGAACGTGGATCTTGCCAAAAGTCTTGACATGCTCTTCGACAGCCGTCTTGCAGGCTTGGTTGTCCATGAGATTTCCAGGGATTAGGAGACACTGGCGTCCTTCCTTCTCTACCAGCTTCTTGGTCTCATCGGCGTCCACTTGTTCCTCTGGAAGATAGACGATGCTGACATCGGAGCCCTCTCTGGCAAACAGAACGGCCACCGAGCGGCCAATTCCGGAGCTGTGACTTCAATGTCAGTCGTCGTAGGGCTGCTCTAAGGAGCCCAAGAACAAGTTAAAAAATACAGGGGGCGCTACAACTCACTCTCCTCCAGTAATCAACGCTTTGTTCCCCTTCAACTTGCCTGCTGCAAGATATTCTGAGAACCCACCTTTACCTTCCAATTTCGTTGCTTCGCTAGTTGGCTTCAGGTCCTTTTCGAGACTATGAACAGGTCAGCCCGTGACCAACCCCTCAGTGGGGTCATTCATGGAAAAGAGGATGGTCTGGGGGCGAGGTCTTACCCAGGAAGACTCTGCTCTTGCTTCTCGGGCACAGGCTTGAATTCTCCTCGCTCCGCCGCCATGGTGACTTTTGAATGTGAAATCAATTCCGTAGATTCTTCGACAAGCAATAATGCAAAGGGATCTGATGCCTTTGTAATTTATAAAATAGCTCTAGTGTTCCGTGTTCTATTAGCGAAAGTGGGTGTGCAAGATTTCATGCTTTGGGAGATTCTTCTCATATTAGTAGTCACCTACTCGAATCCAGCGTGATGTCGTCATGTGTAACCAACTCATAGCTCCTCCATCACAATGACGACATGCTTAATACGTTTGTTCACTCTACCTGCATGAAAACATTCTGTACGGCCTTTACACAGCGAATTTTTTTCCTCGCAGGGTACGTCGAATCAATATGACAGGAACCAAATGCAGCATCAATAAAGCCAAAGGGCAAGACAGCCGCGGTGGGAAAACAAGGCAAATTAAAGGATCTGCATGGTTTGACGCAGACTCAGTAACCCAAATCATGTCTATGCTGGATCTATGGTTATTATCTCTGAGGCATATGTTGGACAAATCTGGCACAGGCACCTTTGCACTATTCAAGCACACCCGAAACTCAGCCCTGAATTGGGAGTTGAACCAGGTGGCAGTATCTGTGCACACGGAAGCGGGAAGACAAAAAGGAGTGCGTCCCCCGCCTGCACTTGTCCAACTTGTTCCCTCTCTCCAACTCCGTGTCACAGCTGCCACGCCACTGGCGCGCTGCTGGCACGCTGCTGACCACGGCACTGCTTTGAGTCACCCACCCACCCACTCCTGAAAGTCTTGGCATTTTTTGGAAAAGAAGGAAAAGACTTCGCTTGAAGTCTTGGCATTATTCAGAATAGACAGGAAGACTTCACTTGAAGTCTTGGCATTTTTTCAGAAAGCGTTGGATGGAATGTTTCTTGTTTGTTTGTTTTTTTCCATAGACAGGGGGCCGTTTTCTGGTCAGCGCCACGCGCAGAGGCACAACATTCACGTGCCGAGTCACGTGCCACTGGCACACGACCCCCAGAGACCCCCCGGGCCGGCCAATGAAGTTTATTTACCTATCACTCGATATGCAGTGCAGTGCAGTGGCCAGCAGATGTCATTTCCTTCGACAGTCGGAACCCTATCCCGCCTCTCGATAAAGTAGTGCAGGGGTTGCCGAGCCGTGTCATCGGGCCGAGATTTGATCGGCACAACTGTGAGTACTATATTGTACACGAGTCTCGTGGTAAGTCGGTCCAAACCTGCTATAGCTACCTACTTCGACTTTGGTATAAAGGAGTTCTTTCCTCTCCATTTCAATTACGAAAAAAAAAAAAAGAGGAATGGAATAGAATGGAATGAAGTAATGTGTTCGTACCTGAAGCTTGTGCACCTTTCCTCCCGCATGAGACCAACCAAGTTTGAAGCTATTCTGCTGTAGGGTTCAAGGGAAAGAGAAGCTACTGTTCATGACCAAGCGCCCTGGTCGGTGATTAGGCAGTCCAGTTCCTCTAAAAGAGATTTTATCATCTTCCTCCAAGATTTGAGTAACCACGGTTGACTTGTTCGCGCTGGTCATCAGCACCTTGAGCCTCTGTGGACCTTGAAACTTGTGGACCATCCATCTCAGCTGAAATGCAACAGAGCCCATGCCATCACTCCATCCGCCACGCGCGCCCTCAAACTCGGCAACCTCATCGATGATGCATAGAGTGATCTTGTTCGGGTCAATTTGCGAGAAAACAACTCCGAATATCTCGCAAAGGCCGTCCACATCGTCAGGCTCTACTCTGTCGTACAGCTCTCTGTCCAGTTGCAGGCTCTTGGGGAGAACATCGTCTGACTTGCGAAGCAGCTGTGCAAGTAGGCTCTTTATAAGCCCCAATGGCCCGGCTGGCAGGCCGTTCGAATCCAAGCCGTGGTGACCGCAATAGTATTGCAGAATGACTAGTGCATTGGATTCCGCAAAGTTGGAGGCGAGAGAAGCGCACAGGACGGAAAGTGGACTGGTCTTGCCGTTGCCAAGGCTCTTGCAGTGCCCGTCGACTAGAATGAGTCTGGACTCATCTTTCTGCATCCATTCGGTGAACTGTGCCAAAGTCATGATTTTCCGAGCCAGTTCACGGCCCTCTGATGCGACGTTGGTTCCTTGTTGGCGAATCCTCTCTACATCTTCGACCACGCTGCCGAGTTCAGATAGTTTGAAGTGCTGCAATAAGTTGTCTTTGGTAATCAGTATCTTCTCAGCCTGCATAGACTCCGGAGGATCTATACTCCTGCAACACCCGAGTCCTAGAACATGTGTCAGGGCATCTTTGAAGTCTGTGTAGTTGAGTAATCTAGAGGAAGAATCATGGTGAAAATTTACTGTGGCAATATTCAGTCTCCTCAACCAGTCGATAGAGGCCCGTCTGCATTGCGGATGACAAGAACTCCCGGAAACATTCCTTGAACATGTCCCTCATGTTATTGTCAGCTTGCAGTCGTGAGTCGCTTTGTCGAGCAGCGATGTCCCCGATGGCGCGCATCATGATATCGTGATGCCCATGAATGGTTTGGCGAGTCACCATGGTCTCTGATAGGGCTTTGCCGGACGTCTCGTCAATTCTTGCCAGTCGCTCATGCTCAAGTCTATCCACACAAGCTTCTAGGGCTGCATTAGCCCTCGTCACTGCGTTGGCTGTGTCATCTATGCGCTGTGACTCGACGGCAGGGATGCGGTGCATAGTTTTTGTGATAACTTAAGCCATCGATATGTCAGTGAGTCACCTGGAGTAGCCAGACTCTTTGTGACTCACAGGAACCATCTTGTGTCCGGAGTAGGATCTGGATCAAAACGCTGAGAGAATCCATGACGGTTTCGCAAAGGTTATGGACGGCAATCTTCAAGCTTTCATCACGAGAATATAGTTTCCATTTCTGAGTCGCGGTTGCGAGAAGTACTGGTAAATCCTCAAGTTGCCGGAGGATCTCTTCTTTGTTTTTGATACGGGTCTGCCACGCCTAAAACTCCACCATTAGTGATTAAAGACATCGCGGCAGCCCATGGGAACAGAGATCTAGAAGTTACCTGAAAGACCATCACTAGCCCCTGACGTAGTACACTTAGTCCTTCGTCATCTGGTATGACGCCTGCGAGGGATTTCAGAAAGTCTACTGTTGTATCCGCATTGCGTGACCAGGCCCTAACTTTGCTCTTCTTTCCCTTGTCATCATATGATGCCTTCGCAATGGCAATGCAGTCTAACACATCGTCCCATCCACATCCTTGTGGCTTGTGCTTGAAATCAGCAATGAGGTTAGTGTGAAGCATTGCCTCTGACAATGTCGAACTCAAAATCCTATGATATCGCTTAGTAGCTTTCAACGTCCAAATATGGCTCTACTCACTTTGATGGCAATGGCCTGAAAACGGCTCGTTGAGCATCATAGCGAGCCTTGGGCCTGAACCCAGCATGCAATTCATTTGCAGACGCAGCCTTAAATTCCTCGAATATCTCCACTTCATGATCGTTTTTCATTAGCTCGACAAGAGCTCTAGGAGGACATTCGGAGCTGTCCATTTCCTAATTCCTAGACGGAATCGAGGTGTTCACCGTGACAGATTCAAGTTTGAGTTGTGGCTATTTACAGAGAAATTTAGGAAGTGGTGAAGGCTAGTCTCCACCTTGTACGGACCTCTAATGCTTGGCCACTGAAAGTCGATCACGTCCACACAGCCTGCTTCATCGTCTAACGTGGCAAGTTGTGGGATGGTGAAGAGCAGTTGATGCAATCCGCCTCGTTGTGCTTACTCGACAGCAATTAGTCCCGCACTCGCCTACGCAGTGTCACCATGACCGCCCTGTTTGCATGCACAAAATGATAGTCAAGTTCCCTATCTGTCTGACCGCATGCCAGACTTGTTACACAGCCAATCAGATGACATCTCAGCATCACATCACCCGAAATATGGTGGGGCTGGTTCGCGAGCCTGCAGAATTGGTGGCAACACCACTTTCTTGGGGTGACTGGGGGATTCCGCCATTGTCGGCATCCTTTGCCGCTCCAATGTTGATACAAACTTGCAATGTCCCCTGGAATCTTCAACTTTTGCATGGTCTCTCGCCTCGCATTCTGTGTCTCACAATCTAAAGTAACTCTTCTTTCAGTTGTTTGGAAACCCCAAGGCCACCTGAGAGACCGCTGCCACAAAGTCAACTGCATTCGTACCACCTCTGGACATCACCGTTTGTCTATATAGCACTTGACTCCTTGTAGCAAATCCAAACTACACAGATTCAAGCGCGATGTCATCAGGCGGCTCAGACCCCGACCAAGCGGAAGACACGACAGTCCAGGAAGCTGGCCCGGATACTTCTAAACACTTACTGCCCATTTCCGCAACGGACATTACACCAGAAAGCCGCCATGAGACGCCTGACGTCTTTGAACCAAAAGTTCAAGATACTACCTCAGGAGATGTCGGCATCGGCCTTGACCTGAATGAGGGACCAATTCTGAGTGAGGTACAAAGCTCTCTCCATAAAATTAGCAATGGAGTAGAAGAGTTGGCCACAACAGTCCATGACCTCCTGGGTCTCTCAGACTCCGATGACTGCGATTATTACGGTCATGACACCGATGGTCGAGGAGCATTTTCATGGCGCAATTTCAAGATGAATGCCAAATGGCGACGACGACGTCGGCGAGGATCGTCGAGTGTGCAAGGAGATGCTCAATCGGCGAATACAAACGACGAGGCGGAAAACAGTAAGGAAGGCTCCAAACCCACCAAAGAGATCATACCTGAGATCAGGGAGTGCAATCTCGAGCAGTTCCAATCACGAGAAGCGGCGGACGGGCATAAGTTGTACTGCGTCGACATCCTGGTGGCAGGCGATTCCCTTGACGAGGATATATTGCGTTTCAGAGAGACCATAGCTAAGATTGAGTCCGGAAGCATTCAATCTTGGAAGCCGGACCACATACCAGATCGGACAGAGGCGCCAATCTTCGAAAACACTGGAAAAAAATGGATTCGACGGATCAGGATCAACTCTCGAGTTGTGCTGCAGATGTTGCGACACATTTGTCCTCAATTGAAAGGACACCGGGGTCGGCCGGCTATCTTCCATAGGCCGTTCCAGCTCCTAGTTACCTTGCACGAGGACTTGAGAGAGCAACTGGCCAATATGAAAAGACCAGCCTCCGGTGGCCGCAACGATGGAACGGACACAGCAGATTCGAAGGCGTGTGTGGGCTTGAGCACGTCCCGGAGTCCAAATTGGGACGATCGGATCCAGAAGCTTTGCGAAAACAAGGACGCCCTTGACGAGCTAGCCTGTTTTGTGGACTTCATGGAAACTCAAATCATGCCTGATTCACGACGATATAGAGATCCATCTGATCTACCAGAAACTGTTCGGTGGGAAGATCTCTGGTATCTCTTCAAGCCTGGCGACTTGATCTACGTCAATCGCGATATATTGGGTCACGATTCCTTCACCACAAGTGTACATGCACAACAAATTCTACGTGTCACACACTCCTCTCTGACCAACACATCTTCCGACAGAGGGCCTATTGGATTCGGAGGAATGCAGCATTTCTCTTTTCTCGGGCACTTCATTGAATTCAACGGAGTTTCTTATGTGCCCATGTTTTATATCTTTCGCTCCATCGCCCGATTTCGAGGCCAGATAAAGGTGACGGATTTGCCTACATTCCCAGTCTCTTACTTGAAAAATGACCAGATTTTAGCACAAGCAGTATCAGATGGGGAAACATACATCAGCCTGATCGAGGGACGTTCGGGATTCTACAGTGGCTGGACACAGACAATAAGCCCATTTGGGGAGCGGCTGACAGAGCAATCATCGGGAACCCGACACGCGAGCCCCGAACACATCGAGAGCGACATCTTAATTGACTTTCAGGAAACTTTCAACGCGTTTCCAGATTGGAGGCCCAGGTCCTACCAAATAATGGCCGATGAGGTGGAGAAATTGGGGACGGAGGTGTTCAGGCTCGAACGATCCGATCTCCCCGTACTAGAATGGGACAGACTGGGAAAAACAATCCACGACGACTCCGACCAAGAGCTGCGCATAGATTACACCGAATTGGTTGAAGCGAAGAGGTTCATTTCTGAAGATGTGTTGCGGCAATTCAAAACAGAGAGACCAACCCCGACTGGTCAATACCTCGCGTTATTGCCAAGACGCTTTTTCGCATACGCTGTGCTTGAACGCAAATTTGTCCAACTGAATACCCGCTTTGTTCGCAATGCAGATGTCGAAGCGAACGACAAAGCTTTCGAGAAGCTGGAGATTGACCGCAATTACAAAAGGCTCATCCTCTCACTTGTTAAGTCTCACTTCGACAAGATCGAGACTGAGAAGACAACAAATGTCGAAATCGAAACCCAAGATTTGATTCGAGGGAAGGGAAAGGGCGTTGTCATTCTTCTACATGGAGTTCCAGGTGTTGGCAAGACGGCAACAGCAGAAGCAGTTGCGCTCAAATGGAAGAAGCCTCTGTTCCCAATCACCTGCGGAGATCTAGGATACACAGCTGAGACGTTGGAAAAGTCTCTACATGAAATCTTCCGATTGGCTCATCATTGGGGATGCATTCTTCTACTCGACGAAGCCGACGTCTTCATCACACAAAGGGAGAGACATGATTTGAAGCGGAATGCTTTGGTGTCGGGTAAGAGCCAGAATTCTTGCTTCGAATTTGATCTTGTGCCCCAAATACTGAAAACTTTCCAGCATTCCTCAGAGTCCTGGAGTACTACAATGGCATCATGTTTCTCACAACTAATCGAGCAGGTGTCTTGGACGAGGCCATCAAATCAAGAGTACACTTGAACCTCTATTACGACCATCTTACTGAGGAGCAGACCGTGGCCATTTTCAGGCAGCACATCCAACGTCTCAGGGACATCGAGAAGCAGAGAAATCCAGACGCAAATGATCAGATCATGGTCCTTCACAAGGAGATCATTCAGTTTGCTAAAGACCATTTCAATCATCGTGACAACCACGGCTCGGGCAGCAACTTTGGCAGGTGGAACGGGAGGCAAATCAGGAATGCATTCCTCATAGCCTCTTCTCTTGCTCACTATGACAGTGAAGATGAGGGCGAGGATGAAGACAACGACGAGTTGGCAGAGCCAGGAAGAAAGAAACAGAAGCAACTCGGTCGCAGCCAGTTTGAGGTCGTCGCTCAGACCACTCTCATGTACGACCAGTACAGAGAGGCGGTTCACGGCAAGTCGGATGAGCACGTCGCTTTCGAAAGGGAGGAGAGGGCCATTTTATCTCAAACCAGGCCACCCACACCAGTCCGGATGAAGAATATCGGCAAGGGCTTTGGTTGAGAAAATTTGGAACAAGTGGCGAGAGAGTGGAGGTCTCTGTAGCTGTATCTCCTTGGATATCATGTCATCATCGAAATCAAATTGCCATTTCCTGATAGCGGCTGCAGGGATAGATAAATGATAACATAGTTCACTGTTGTATTGGCTCACCTCTTCCGCCCGTTAACGGGCAGGAAATGCGACCGGGTGTTCATCCTACGAAAGGACATAGCCAGCGTCAGTAGGTGTACATCCTGGCCTCCCCTTTCAATCAATTTCATGTCTGATCTAAAGACTACATGTTGATAGGGTCTCCAAATGCTTAACTCCAGCCATTACTTCAATAACTACACGGAGATCGAAAAGAAAGGTGAATGGAAGATTGGTGGAATCCGAACCTGGGAGCAAATTTTGCGTGTGTGCAGGTGTGGAACAGTTGTGCGTCCCCGCGATGGGGGCACGTGGGGGACACATTTTGCTGACTAGGTAAGCACAGCAAAATCAACGAGAATAGCCAAGTGGTCGGAGTTACATGCAGGAATGGCAACCCCTCAATCTTGAAAATCACATCCTAGGGAGATCGACGCAGTTGGTGGGAAATCCCTCGAGCGAAGCAGCCGCAATGAATGAGGCTCAACGGGCATCAAACCAGGCAAAGAAGCTTAATTCAGGTACCTTTGAGCCGCAGGACTGGGAGATCGGCAGAATCCCGCCGCCCATCAATTTTGGGGTGCACCGGGGTCCGAGGTCCATGTTGAGACGAATGAGACCGATTTCTGGAACAGCGCAGGGTCATGAGACGCCGACCCCTGAGGCGCCCCCCTTTCGCTTCGAAATAACCTTAAACATCGCTCGAATGAACTTGTCCGTTTTTACGCGGACTAGCCGTTGGCGCGCCTGGAATACGCTCCTCGTCTCCTTAAAAGCGGCCGTGGCAAGGTATTTACGATGACTCGTGTCGTCTCATCCCTCGATTGTCACACAGACCCCTGCGGCGGCAATGTCAAACCTGCAAGTGTTCAGGCGGCGGCTTGGCGATGGCTTCAACGTTGGATGGTACTCGGGTAGCTTGGGAACATATAAACATCGAGGGAGAAGCACTCGACTTAGTGTGTTTCTCTGAACGATATCGGCACATTCTCGTTGAACGCCTCTCTTCATTCTCTACCGCCGGTCGTTTGATTTGCTTGTAATATTTTCCAAAGTTTCGATTCTTTCGCTACCAAATTTTCACTTTCGCTTCTCGAACTCTTAATCCGCCCTCCACTTTCTACCAACCAGAATGAGGTTCGCGTACATCGTCACAATTTTCGCCGCCAGTGCGTCTGCAGCCAGTCTGCAAGCCCGGAAGAAGGGCAGAAAGGGCGCCGCCTCGGGAGCAGCTGTTGGTGCTGCTGCAGGAGCGGCCGGAGCCGCCACCGGAGCCGCCACCGGCTCATCGAACACGGCTGCGGCAGGGGCTGTCCAGAGGGGAGACTCCACACTGGTTTTCAAGGAGGATGGTGGCATTCCTGGAAACGAGTGCCTGACCTTCCGCAACAATGGTGGGTTGAGCCATTCAAGCATTTACAAAAGACTATGAATACTGACTGACATCCTTTCCAGGCGAGATCGTCGATGCGGCTTGTGTGAACGAGGCAGCCGACCGACAGATAACCCCCTCCACACTTAACGGAGCCAACGTGCTCCTCGTGCAGAGGTCTTTCACCGCCGGCTTCAGGCCCGACCTTGTCGACGTGCAGGCCTGTGTTGGCTTCAACGGCACCACCTTCCGCGCAGAGGACTGTGCCGCCAATGGCATCGAACTGGTCAGCTTCGACCAGGCCACGAACCAGCTGGTTGCGAGCGGTGGTGCCTGCCAGAGTGGCCATGACGATGCTGCTCAGCTGACGGTTGATGAGACGGGCCAGAACTGTGCTACTCTCACCACCACCACTGTCACGCCTACGGCCCCTGAATAGGATGTCTCTGAACAAGGGGTCTCTGAACAGGAGGTCTCTGAATAGGAGGTCTTCGAGGTTGTTCAATGTCGATCTTCGGCAGGTGAGAACGGTCAAATGAATGTATATTCGATACAATAACGGCATCATTGAGCTGTATTCTAAATAGCCAAATAAGAACGTGTTAAAGCAGATGAAAAGAACCGTTGTTGACTATGCTCTACGCAAAAGTTTCTTGACTTGTCTGACTGCAAATCGATTTCAAAAGCGAATTCAGACTCGCGCCATCTAGCTAAACTCAACGGTTCTGCAATACTTCATCAAGTCTGTTCCGAAACTTTTGGCTTCTGTGCTAGTGATTCGGTGATCAACGCAAGGTATGTCTAAGTAAGGCCGTTTCCTCTGCATACCCCCCGTCAAGCAATTCATACAAACACACAATTCTGTGATGCGCGCCTCGAAGTTTCATGACACCAGATGGTTAGGAGCGTGTCCGAAACAAAGTGGGGGCCATCGACAGAGGAACGTCTCAGCGTCGCTCGCCAGTGTTCGAGCCAACCAAAGCCCACCCGTGGAATCCACATTTCAGATGGGATGTTATCTGACAGGAGGTTGTATGTAACATGTCAGTGCACAACCAATATTCGAGTGTTGAGCAACCGGAAGGCTTCCGATGCGATGACCTCGAATGTCGTCCCCCAATTAAATTGTATACCTAGGTCAGCTCTCTGGGGATTTTGGCCATGGCCGATCTTAACTTGCCTGAACCATTTCCCTTCAACAGAACTGCTTTGTGATTTTTACAAGTTTTGCGTTTTGCCATGTTATCGAAACCTCTCCTCGCCCTGTGCGCGGGAGCAACGCTGGTCGTTGGGAACACGCCTTCCGGGTACACACCGAATTCTAATACCGATTTAATCGTCGCCTACGGTCAAACCGCAGCTATGAACGGGGTTGTAGTAGAGCAAGCAGGTAACACTACCATCTGTACTAAACAATTGTCAGGTCCCTAACCAACAATAGCCACGGCCAGTGCACCGACGATAGCGACAAAGTCTCGACTGGACGGGACATCATATGCTGTCATCATGGTTGACCTCGACACACCTTCAGGCCAAAGCCCACGCACCTTCCTCCACTGGATGCAGACCGGTCTCACACCGGTTATAACAGCATCAACCATTTCGGCGTCAAATGGGAGCACTCAAGCCTTCACTCTGTCGAATGCCAAGAACACAAGTGCTATTGTCGCCTACACCCCGCCTGCCCCACCGGCTCAGAACCCACTCAGCCACAGATACGCCCAAGTCTTGGTCGACACCAGCTCGATGACCTCAGCCGGTCTTTCAGCGCTTCAGTCCGCCGCCGAGACGCGCGTGGGATTCGACACCGACTCTGTGCTACAAGATGCCGGGCTGAGCAGCAATGTCGTCGCCGGGAACTCTTTCAATGTGACGAATCCCGGCCAGACTTTCTCGTCGGCGAGCTTCGGCAATTCAACCTCGATTGGAATCGGGAATGGGCAGCAGGCCGACCAAATGATCAAGTCCGACGGTGGATTCAAGGGATTTGGGGCTGCAGGCGCTGGTGTTGGAGGCACACTCACAACCACAATATCATCTGCGCCGGCTGGGCCTACGTCCGGACTCACGAATGCCGGGAAGAGTGGCAGCGCAACTTCAACGGCCTCAGGTGCCTTTGGCAGGGATTATGGCCATCTGTTCACTTTGATGGCGACATCCGGTTTTGTTACATCCGTTCTCGTCAGCAGGTTTTAGACGGCTTCAGGTATTCGCCTACACAGCTTGCTTGGTACGTTCCCAAAAACATACACACACATGGATATATAGTCTCAATTTCATCAAACCATATATTTATTCCCTCTGGGCAGACCGCTAGACGCCAGATGGAGATTTATGAATTAAGCTGAAATCTATTTCAATTGTTTTGGTGTATCAACCAAGCAAGTTCAAGAATCACAGACAGTTGACCGATAATAGGCAAGACTAGCGATGTATGGCCGTCTACGTCTGTAGTGTATTTCCCTCTAATTTCTATTGTCTCATGCCTCTGTATCAAGAAGCCTCACCCGTTCCTGTCATATATGGCATCAGCGCAAACCGTAATACGGTAATCGATGATCCGCAATTCTCACTCGCCATAGCAGCACGTGTGAACCCCGAGCAGGCCGAAACTACGGGTCCCCATCAGCGAATACTACGGGCTGTCACAGCTTCGGCTCCGGCGGCTTAGAAGCCGCCCAACTTTCCAGGATGACGTTCTTTTTACTGTCCAGCCTCTCCTGTGTCACCTTGTATAATCTTGGCACACCAGTGCTCGCGAAATCCACATCATCCAATGCCACCTCGGCAATTGCCTTAGCAGCGAGGAATATCTGAGGCATGCCGTGGCCGGTGAAACCGGCAATTATTAGCTGATTCGGCCTGCTGGGCAGCGGGCCGACGAATGGCCATCCATCGGATGAGTACCCCATGACTGGAGACAGGTGTTAGCACGGTAAGGACAACCGGTAGCGACTTGTTCAAACTTACTTCCCGTCCAAACTTTGTGCGTGTAAGCACCCGAGTCTTCCCAGCCCTTGAAATATTTCTGCATGTAATCATCGAAATGATGATGCGCGTTACCCGTCGTGATCGACTTGTCGTCTTCAACGGTACTATACCAACTGTCGAGATGCTTGTAGTATCTCTCCCTGGCCCCGCCAACAACAATACTGCCGTCCAGTCGTGGGATCAGATACTCGTACTCGGTTGGTGACCACCGGATGATATAGCTGTTTGGCAGATGTGGTGCCGGTTTTGTCCTGGGCACAATATGACTGCAGATGCCCTTGACAGGCACAATCTTGTTCTCGAACTCCGGAAGAATAGACGACGTGTACCCGTTCGTGGCATAGATGATTTTCTTCGCCCTCAGTGATCCTCGGTCTTTCGTCGTCAGGGTGTAATACCCCTCAGCGTCCGGCCTCGCCGACACCCCCGTGACAGGCGTGTGCGTCTGCAGATTCACGCCCGCATCCACCGCCTTCTGCAGCAGAGCGCAAATTAGTTTGTAGGGCCACAGGTGACCTGCCGAGTAGCTGACGCAGCCCTTGGCCCCCTTGACGCCCGACAACTGCTCCGCGCCTGGACCGCCCTGGTACGAGACGTCCTTCATGACCGACAGGCCTGCTTTGCGGAGCAGGTCGAAGCCCGCCTTCATGCGGTCGTTCATGGCGTCCGTCATGAGGGCGTCGACGGCCCGGGTCAGCACGAAGTCGCAGTCTATCTGCTCCTCCTCGATGGCTGTCTTGAGCGCGGAGAGCGTGGCTGCCTCGAAGGAGGCGCATTCTGCTGCTACCTCGAAGCCGTGGGAGACTGCCACGGATGCTGGGCGGTTGTAAGGGTCGGGCTTGAGGTGACCGCCTGAGATGGGGTTAGTATGGAATCCTGACAAGCAAATTCATGAGAAACAGAGATTGGGATCATGCAGTACCATTGCGACCAGTGGCGCCTGAACACGCCTGTCGTGCCTCGAGGGTGACTATTGACGGTGGTGGGACACCTTTGTCTTTACTTTGCCTGAGGATGTGGTAAACTACCGAGGCTCCTGCGTAACCAGCACCCACAACCGCGATGTCAACGACGGATGGGAGCTCAGGGGTGCTTCGATGGTCGTCGATAGGGTGGAGCTCAGTCCTCCAAAAAGAATCTGTGGAGTTGGCTACGGGAAGTGGGGAAGGTGCCATGCTTGTTTGCATGTGCACAGTACCTTGTGCTGGTGATAAAAAAGATCTAGGGCAGGTCGACGACGATCGCGTTCATTGGGACGGCTCGAGGTAGCTTGGTCCCGATGCAGCCCAGGAGCTGTTGTGTTGCATTCAAGTTATAGGGCCCCAAGAGATTTTCAGGGGTCTGGTCCGGAGCCCGCCGACATCGAGCCGGTGGGAACCCGGATGGGCAGAGAGCTTATCGGGCGCGGACCACTGTTTCTCGGCACTCGAGACCCCGGCTGCTTGCTCATAGATGATTCAGTCAATGACACAGACAAGCCATTGCCGGGCCGGGTAGCCCTGTTGATTTGATATCCAGCTGGTGTCGGTGAACGACGATGATACCATAACGATGCTAGAATTTGGTTGCACTGTTCCTCAAGGTTCTCTGATCAAGACCAGGTAACTCCGATAGTTACCGGCCGGCCAATTTGGGACCAGTAATGAGACGGGGAGGCACACGCAAACAAATCTTTTAGAGCCCTCATATGAGATGACAGTGTGGGAAGCCGCGTCTGATCCAAAACTACTGCCAAATGTTTCAACTCAACATGTCCACAATGTTCAAAACCATCATTGAGTCGCAGCGATGATCTTGTCTGCCATCTCAGGCAGTGTAGACCCGACAACATCCAGCTGACCGAACACATCATAGAGAGGCTCAGCCTCCAATACTGTGCAATATGCCCCGTGAAATCTGCACGACAGTATTAGCTTGTACACTCTTCAAGAGGAAGAAGACGGGCAAAACTTACCCAACTGTCCTCGCCGTGCTCACATCCCACATATGCGCAGCCGCAAACCAGGGCTGCTTCCCATCCCTGCTCAACCTCTCCAGCAACGGCCTGTACGCCTCAGGAACCGGCTTCGCAACACCCACAGTGTCGCAACTCAGCAGGTTCTCAGCAGGCATGTCCACCCCAGCCTCCCTGAAATACCCGCCCACCCTCGCAATATCCCCAGCCGTGAAGCACCACACCGTGAACCCCGCATCGCGGAGCTTCCGCACGCACTCCTTCGCGCCCTCCCTGAGGTGCAGCTTCTGCCACTCGCCCACCAGCCACTTGACGTCTTCCTCCGCGCAGAAGCCCCGCGGGTTCTTCACGCCCGCGAAGAAGAGCATGCGGTAGAAGAGCGCGGCGAACACCTCGAAGAAGGGCCTGTAGCGGCCCGAGAGGGAGAGGTACGTGTACTCGCGCTCGGCGGCCTCGATCCAGCACGCGCCCAGCAGCTCGGGCTTGATCCCTGCCGCCTTGAGCTTGTCGCCCAGGCGCTCTTCCATGGCCTCCCAGAGGCGGTCGTGGGCTACTAGGGTGCCGACGACGTCGAAGACGACGTCTTTGGTTGCGGGGATGGACATCGTGAGTTCTTATGGCCGAGATGGTGCTGTGTCAAGCTATTATTTTGAGTGACGCTGGAATAGTGAGAAGGAACGGTATGTGGTTGAAGAGGGTGATAGTGAGTCAGGCGCCCTGCGTAGGCATGCATAAAGCATTACATGTTTCGAGAATCGAGTCACCGAAGCTGTGACTCGCGGCACGTCCAAACCGGCGAGCGTGTGACCGATGCGGCAGTTCCGGCGATCATATCCAATCCGGAGTGCAGGGATAGATAAGCCGGCGATTGAGGTATGTTGTGTGCGGCTTTCCGGGGGTCGATTTCTCAGGTCTCGGCCGCTCTGGCATGATGCTAACGGCCGGGCCGGTCTTGCTAGCCCCGTGGTGAGCACCGGATATATCCAGATTGGCATATTGCTGGGTCCCATATTATAGAGCGGATTGAAAGCGACACAGAAACCCGTCATCTCTACATTTGTACGCTCATTCAGAGATTCAAAATGTACACTCACTGCCCTTATAATGAGCCCTTTGCAAGCATGGCCAGGACATTCTGCGATCGGTCACAAACCGGTCACTACTGTTCCTTCAGCATTGTGTTGAACACTGCCTCACTATTCAAATAAGCCCCGGCCACCCATCCAACGCCCCCAGCTCAGGAAACCCACCAAACAGGCTCAAATCATCCAGCTGCTCCATCCTGAGCCCGGCATTGTCCATTATGGCCATCCACCTAGCCGAGTCCGGACTGTGGTCAACCAGCTCGGGCGGCGGGCCCTGGACACCGGGACCCGATGGCATCCCAGGATAAGGCGAGGGCACGGTAGCCATGTCCTGCGCCCTGCCGTCCAGCCTCTTCGGGCCGCCCATGGGATCGTCCCCCGGCAAATGCCGATGCTGACGTTGCGGCTGTTGCGGCTCACCGCCACCGCCACCGCCACCGATTGCAGTGGCGGGCCACATCGAAGCCCACTCCTTGAACCTCTCATACCCCGTCTTCCCAACGTCCATCTCCCCGCGGACATTAATCTCCACAAACGTCTCCCCCCGGCCCTCGCCTGCCACGCCCCCAGCCACGCCCCGCGCGTCCTGCATGGCGTGCAGCCTCCGCACGGCCGTCTCGAGCGCCTCGATGATGCTCGCCTCGCTCTGCGTGGAGACGTTGTTGCCGGCCGCCATGCGCCGGATGAGCTTCATGCCCATCTCGACGGCCGCCTTGAGACGCGTCTGCTGCTGGGGTTGTTGCTGCTGCGTCTGCTGGGTGCCGGGCGCGGGCGCCACCACCGACTGCGCCAGCATGACCAGCAGCGCGGCGCGGCACGAGCTGAACTCGGTGTAGCTCGAGCGCGCGAGCCCCGTCGTCTCGTGGAGCGTGCGGAGCAGCGCTATGGTGCTTATCGCCGCCTCGACTGCCCGCTCGACGAGGGCGGCGCGGTTACGGGGCCTTTCGGGGATGGAATGGGGCGCTGGTGAGGGCGACTTGCCAGACGAGGGGTTATCGTTGGGGCGGCGGGTTTGTTCTGGGGAGGACGCGGTCGCCTCTGGGGTGATGCCTGTGGTTGTCTGGGAGAAGATGAAGGGGCGGCCTACGAAGATGTCGTTGAGGTAGAGGCAGAGCTTGAGGTGGGCGTTTGAGCGGAAGTTTGGGGAGGATGGGGTTGGGTTCTGGACGTCTGGGCTGAGAGTGGACCACCAGGCGTGGAGGGCCTGGCATATCACCACTATGCGCTCGAAGTATGTTGGTTGGAGGTTCCTTGGACATCGTCGGAGGAGTGTGCTGAGATGATGGTTAGTTGTCTCAGGCTCCAGTATCGTGACCGGGACCTGGAGAGAAGTTACTCACATGGCATTTGCTACCTCGCCCAACCGCGTAGTCATGTCTATCAGAGCAGACATATTGGCAAATCTGGAAATCTCGTCATGCGATCGGAACTCGTGCAGATCTTTGGGCAGTTCTGCGTCGACCTCAGTCGCGGAAATGGAGGCCGGCCGGCCGTGCAGCACGCTCACACGTCTCTCTACCGTGTACGCGGTCCACCACAGCCGGTTGCGAGTCTCGATGGTCCAAGTGTCCAGATCATTGCCGGCATATTTCCTGTGCATCCCATTCTGGATAGCCATCTTGATTCCGAGTCCGAGGTAAGTGTACGCCAAACCATGCGTGTCGAGCGGCAGGGCATAATGAGCCAGGAGCAGGCAGGCCTGTACGCTCTCCATCGAAGCCATGGTGATAATATCCGGTATGAGCTTCGAGGCCATCTGGTAGAACGTGACGCCGACGTCCGAATCCGTGTCAGCAGGCCCGCTCGGCGTCTTCTGCCCGTCCCTCTCACCACCATCAGGCTCAGACAGGTTGTCCTCGGGAGGCCCGGCAGCCATGTGCGCGAACTGGGTGCCGATGGCAATCACCATGAGCACGGAGCACACCCATGCCGAGTCCTCGCTGTTGACGTGGCCGGGGGCCTCGTACAGGAACTCGAGCTTCTTGCGCAGCCACGACTTCTCCACGTAGAAGCAGTTGACCTGTGCGTGCCGGAAGTACACCTGCACGAGGAAGTTGGCGACGGCCCGCGGCGGCAGGCAGCTTATGACGCTCTGCACCAGCGACTTGTGTGACTGCAGCTGGGTTGCGCGCCAGTACTCGAGGATCTTCATGCCCTTCCTGGGTGGCGGGGCTGCACCTCGGCCGGGCGCGTGGGGCAGGTTCCTCGCGTCGCGGGCGTCCAGCCTGGCTGATGAGATTGGGATGTCCGAGTCCAGGCACTGGCTGAGTCTTCGGCGGAGCTTCTGGGAGAAGTTCCAGTGCGAGAACTCGCCGGAATAGTCTGGGACTGCCTTAGCCATCACGTATCAATCACGCACCAATTGGTTGACTCTTACGTGCTATGCTCTGAGAGAGCGTCTTGACCGTGAAGTTCTCGTCCTCTAGCGTCAGGTCATCGAGGTACTCAGGCTCAGGCCTTTCCTCTCCCACGTCGCTCGCTGGCGCGGCCCTCTGCCTGACCTTGTCCGACATGCGCCGCAGATTGCTTAGGTCCATCGGCACGTCCCCAAGGAGGTGCTGCACGAGACTCTCGAGGCATTTGACCCTCTCCTCAGACCGGACATCCTCTCCGCCGCCTCCGCCGCCGTTGCTACTCTCCCCAATGGACTTCACCGAGCCCGAGGGTGCATGCGGGGCGCGTTGCTTGGTCGAGTACGAGCTCGTCGGGGCCGTGAACCCGGCGGTCACCGGTGTGAACTCGCAGCTTCGTCCCGAGCGGGAGCATCGTTGGCATGGGTGTCTGCCATCACACTTCTCCTTGAGCCGTCGACACCGCTGACACGCCCGTGCCGCGCGGACCCGAACGCTGTCCGCGACTCGGCGGCGCTTCGGCTGCGGGGGACTGAGGGCGGCGTGGTGCATATGTTGGTCCTGCTGGGCCACTACCACCTCGTCTTCTTCCTCCAAGTCCCGGGCCGGTCTCTTGGAGTCTTGCTCAGCCGTTGGCGCCATCGTTCCGTGTGCTGGTTGAGGGATAGGTGACTGTTGAGGACCCGGGTGGCAGAGGAGTCCCGGAGAATGTGTCGTACCCGCCAAGTAGAGGCGGCCGAGTTTATCAGAAAAGGATGGGTCCAAGATTAGGGAGTGTTGATGCTAGTGGGCCACTGCTCGACGGGCTTCCGGGGTAGCCCCTCGTGGCAAGTGGATCACACTGAGGGGCTCATGCGCACGGCTAAGGCCCTGGGGAAACCCAGATGACCGGGTATTTCGAGGATTCTACTGTAGGTTGGCTCCTCCCCTAGCTTACGGATGTCGGGAGGGGACGGTCTCCTCATCTAGGTGCAGGTATGCTATCGTCAAATTATTCAGCTCGACGAACTGCCCGGCTCCCGGCGGTAACCTTGTGCCAGTCGGATATCGCTGCAACATTGAACCCTCGGGGCTCAAATCGATGGCGCGACTCAATGGGAATTGCTCGTCACACGGCGTAATTATACACAAACAAACAAACAAACAAGACTCAATGGGACTAATTCAGCACGTCTACTGGACCAAATTCTGGGTGACGCGAGTTGATGACTGGATTTGCATTGGGAGAAAATGCGTAGATGCCAGACTAAGAGGCTTCAAGATGTTGACGGTGACACAAGCTGACGATGCAAACATGTTGAAAACACAACACACCCAAAGCCGATATCGGAGAACATCCATTGGTCAATTCCTGACGTCACAATGGGGGCCACCTGTACGACTTCATGTCGTCAGCTGGGTCACCGAAGACAATATCAACAGTCTACTTGGGTATCTACCACCACATGCAACTGGTCAGTGATAACTCCAGGTCGAGGTCGAGCAACACACTGTGATCATGCCATCCCAAACATATACGCTGGCCACCCGGGTCAAGGTACGCCAATTCCTGCCAAGGCCCAGCAATATTTTCAGTCCGGGCATGCACAAGATGCTGACCCCAAAGAACAGCTGGCCACCGGCCAGACGATCCCCCAGATCCAGCTGGGCCTGTACATGATGTCCGGCAAGGAGGCCTACCAATCAACAAAATGGGCCCTCTCAGCAGGCTACCGGGGCTTCGACTCGGCCCAGATGTACCACAACGAGCGCGAGGCGGGCAAGGCCATCCTGGACTGGCTGAACAGCCCGGAAAACACCGACGGCCTCAAGCGCGAGGACATCCACTACACCTCCAAACTGGCCAGCTGCAGCACCAGCTACGACCAGGTGCGCCGCAGCATCAAGAAGTCCGTCGACGTGTCCGGGCTGGGCTACGTCGACCTGTTCCTGCTGCACAGCCCGTACGGCGGCAGGGAGGCCCGGCTGGCGAGCTGGAGGGCGCTGGAGGACGCGGTCGAGGCGGAGGAGGTCAAGATGGCGGGTGTGAGCAACTACGGGGTTAGGCATGTGAGTGTGCTCGTGTAACTGACGGGAAGACGAAGCAAATGACTGGGTGCGGTACTTGTGTGTTACTGACGCGGTGACCCCGTGTGCAGATCGAAGAGCTCATTGCGTCGAGCCCGAAGGTGCACCCTGCCATCAACCAGATTGAGGTGCACCCGTTCAACACGCAGATTCCCATCCGGGAGACGTGTGCCAAGCACAACATCAACGTGGAGGCGTACGCGCCGCTGGCCAGGGCGATGCGGATGAAGCATCCAAAGATTGTCAGCCTTGCCAAGGCATACAACTGCACACCGGCACAGCTGTTTGTGAGGTAAGTATCACGCCCGTCGTCACATGTACTGCCATCAACTGCGCGTTTCTCTTGACCCTGTATCCCCATGATGCTTACCGCGCCTCACAGATGGTCTTTGCAAAACAACATGATCACCCTGCCCAAGAGCGTCAAGAAGGAAAGACTCATTGAGAACGTTGATGTCAACGGCTTCGAGATCTCGGATGATGATCTGGCAGTCATGGAAAAGCTGGACGAGGGACTTGTCACGGATTGGTGAGTGATCTCGCTCGGGCCAAGTGTTGCCCGTTGAAATCCTTTGCGCTTCGTCTGACCAATATGTAGGGACCCGACAGATGCCCCGTAGACAATCACCGGCGGCTACAAGGCGACATTGCCCTGATTTGAATAGGGGTTGAGCAACGCAAGCTCTCATATCACCTAGTATCCAGACTTTAGCACAGTATTATGCCTTGCAAGGGAGACGCCGTAGACAAGTACGCACGCATCTGATTGTCAATAGGTAGAGTCGCGTATTATAACTGTATAGCCTGCTTGAAGCCCGCCGTCAACTATTAGGACTACAACCTGTCAGGGAACTTGTGTACTGTCTGCGCCGACATGCGCGCAGGCGCAGTAATAACCATATGTCTTGATTTGGCCCCAGGCGGCAGTTCATGCCAGACCATCAGTCACGAGGGAAGGTGCTAAAATCATGATGGATCTGACTCCACTCATTCGTAGTGCACAATTTCCCATGCTGGCAGGTTCAACCACCCACCGAGGCTTCCGCATACGAAGAACATCACTTCAGCGACTTCTCGGGACACTCGATAGGAAAACTTGGTACAAAAATATGCAAAGAAGTGCGAGAGCCTGAAAGTTAAAAGGAGAGGGGCGACTGAGGAGCACCGCTGTTTAAATTATTGTTACGGTCTTCCACCCCCTTCTAAGCAACCAGAAGTCGTAGTCATCGACGTGGAACATGCCAGCTCGCTTGTACAAGTCTTGATTCGAAGTCAATTCGTCAGTTTGCAGCTGGAGCAAAGCCAGTCCGCACACACAAGCATGAATTCCATAGATACTTTTCCCAACGCCAAGCTGTAGAAGCCGCACTTGTATCTTTGACAGATGGAATGGATCGTGATCAAAGTACACCATTCCTTCGAAGACATGTTTAGAATCCAGATGCAGACGGTACGCTTTTGGGCCGTTTCCAATTTGACATGGATAGCCGGGTGAATAGTCGGATTCACTCAGCGTAACGATGATTGACCAATTTGAAACTTTGAGCTCTCCCTTACTCACGCGTCCAAAAGGATTCGGTTGCTCAAGTTTTGTAGTTACGCTCTGGAGACGCAGAGGGCATGGAATGGGTGGTGGAAACGGCTTCCACACCTGTGAAGTAGAGACGTCATAGTCGTAAAAGTTCTTGCTGAACCAATCTTCCCCAAAGTGACGCACAGGGCCGTCAAAGGCTGCCCAAGACCAGGACGGTATGCCTTTGAAAGGGCTTGAATGTGGCCAAGTTGCATTGTATTCAGGCAGGCCGCGCTTGACATGGTATTCGTCGGAGGTACGGAACCACGCAAGCCCCTTGAAGATGTCGCTTTTCCATAACCCAGCAACGTACTCGTCTTGAGGATTCAATCGCTTCCACTCGGCCGCGAATCCAGATAATGCCGGTAGCTTGTCTTCCGGCTGTGACAGAAGTCGGTTCGAATAGTCTTGCACAATTCTGTACCAGCGGGCACGAAGACTAGGGGCGTGGTCGCCGCGAAGTCCAGATCGAGTTACGGTATCGTCAGGCTCCAATTTTGGTCTGCCTCCATCCCAAAATCTGTTCGGCAACCAACTATCATCATCGGGTTTGGCCTTCATTTTCTGTAGATATTCCGAAGCTATCGCGGTTCTACACTCCCACATCAAGCTTTTCTTCGTGTAATGAATCACGCGCGGAGAAAGATGTCGCTCTTGGAGCACCCAAGCACGGCGTTGCAAAGGCCACAACTGGCCGCTGCAGACAGTTTGAGTTCGTCGAATGCGTTGGAGCCTTCGATGAGCTGATACGGCTCGTTCGGCCCGAATTCGTACTCAGACCCAGTCGTTCTTTCCTTACTGCTGAAGAATGCTGTTGCTGGGATGCTCTTGCACCTGTCGCAGAGTTGCTCTTCTTCGTTTTCCAGACTGCTTCCTTTATTCGGCATTGTAAGAATTATATGCGACTGCAAAAGACGTAACACGCGAATAGCAGCAACAATCGCACAACAAGAGCCCTTAGTACAAGGGCTTGATACTGAGATCAAGCGATCGGATACATATGTGTGATAGAAGACCAGTGAAGACACCGATGAGGTTTTGATGTTGACAATGGCGGTGGTGATCGGATTGTAAGCTCGATGTTAGCCGGTTCAAATTGTGATAAGGATGGGTTTGGAAAGTATCGAGAGGACAGACAGACCCGCCCACCTTTATGCGACCCAGGAATACGTGCACATTGTGTTCGACACTTCTGGAAAATACATGCGCCACAAACATTCGACTTAGCGTTGCACAACATAATGCATCGTCCCGTGACCTGTATTCTACCCGAACGATTGGTAGTCCTACAGGTAATAGTGCTGACCTGCCCGTGGGATCGGTACGATTGGACCCCCGACCGAGGCATCTTTGACGAATATAATGTGTAACACAGCAACTTTACTCCACACGAGCCTTTTCACGGTGCACGCCGCTGCTGAGGTGGATGTGCAGGTTCAAATAGATAAGCCGGGCGAGGCGGACGACACAATTGTAGGACCAGATGCCTGATAGCTACTGATGGCCAAAGGCATAAATTATAATCGAATTTAAAATTTCTCACTGATGAGTCTGGTTGATTATAACGCGGTCCTTTTTACGTAGCTCATTTGCTGCAGTCCCCCGCCCAGGCGTCCTTTACATTACACAAGATATGTCACCATTCACAGCGACGGCCAGACTTCCTGCGGCCAGGCTACCAATCACACATGTTGCTTTTTTTGACAGTCTTTGTCTTCCTCTCTCGCGGCATTTCCATGACTATTCTTTTGCGTGCGGTCTATGGCCAGACCGCTGGCTAATCCAGCATCGCCGGATGGGCCGGTGTAGATAATGTGAAGGGCCCCGTATAAGTACTTGCTATTGTGCTTATGTAAATGACCCCGTTCAGCATTCAAAGTACTAAATATGTACGACGTCATCTTCGACCAACGTCCGAGCGCGACATCAAGAATTCCTGTTCAAATCTAAGCAAAGATCGACTCTCTCTGTCCCACCAATATACCGTACAGAATTTCCAACTACTATTTAAGTAGTACGGCACCTTGCACAATCGTGGCCGAAATGACTGGCCAGAACGAATCCCACAACACACCCTGCACGCTGTGTCAAACCTCCCGTCCCGTACTCATCCGATGCCAAATCGATGCAAGCGGGAAGTGGCATATGGTATGTCCGGGGACGTGCTGGCGGAACGTATCTGGCCGCGTCGAGGACGCACAGGGACTGAAGGGGCAGTTTCCTCACTATCGGTATGGAGGGACATGGAAGAATAAGCATCCCGATGGACCCAGCAGCGCCAAGAAGCCGAAGAAGGTGAAGTTGCGGCAGAGAGAGGAGAGGGCGAGGCGTGACAGAGAAGCTGGTGGGACAGGCAATGATGATGAGAGACGGGAACCTGACGGGGATGATGCAACCTGTTGATTTACCTAGTACTTGCTGCACCACGCTGTATATGGCGATAGCTATCTGGAAACTTTGTCCGACGGTAGCGAAGACCAATACGTGAGGCTTGTCAACACCTCAAACCAAGATTATGTTGCCCGAAAGGTCGTTTCTGGCTACAAGCCCGCCATTGGTGGTAACCAACGACGTCTCGCTCAAAGCCCGACTCTTAAGCTTGTCCGTCGGCCAGAGGAGCGCTGGCAAATCATCGTCGTCAAAGATGACAAGCACAACTCCCTCAGTGCCCCAGGCGCATCTACTCCCTGTGTCCTCTCATGGATGATCCCAGCCACAGGGAAGCATCTGACAACTCACTTGACATTCCAGGCGACGAGGTTAATCACACACTCCGAGAGCATTAACCTCCAGGCTACGTCATTTACGCTGGAATTGATAGCGTGGCTTGGAGTGAACTATCTAAGACCACTAGCTACTCGTCCTAGTAGCGGAAATATGCAACCTACTGTTTGGTCACTGGTCCCCATGTCTGATAGGATTTTATAGGATCTGGTAGATTTTAAAGATTTTAAATTTTTTAATTTTTAAAACCAAATCCAACAAAAATATTTACACGAGGCGTCTGTGAACCTCGTGTAAATATGCTACCTTCCTGCTTACATCTCAGACGTTACTGTCAGGTAAAGCCCATTGACTATCAAGACCAGGACCTTGAAATCGGTATTGTAGGTCACTTGGCAACGAACTGCACTACTAAATGATTGGAACCAAACTAGTTCCCGGTATGCATTGTACCAGCTAGGCGCACAATGTGGCCGGGCATCATATGCACTGCCCAGGTATCTCGTCTAAACCGCCAAATCAGATGGCACTCCGAGACGCCTTTCGGCTGGAAGTCGGCCTCTAAACCAGGTTTGCCAATCCCATAGTGATATATGGCTTGAACTATAATAGAGGCTTCGCTTTTAAAACACCTAGGTAAGCTAGTAGGTGCTGACCTGAACCAGTCTTCTCTTTCGTCAAATTCGCCGGACAAAAATATCAGTTTCTCCTTAGTGCATGGGACCGCCCTGGCAACTTTCAACCAAACCGTTCGAAATCCAATTTCACCTTTGTTTAGTCAGGATGTCGCTAAAAAGATTCAAGTGTCATGATGAAAATACTGGAGAATTCGGCGGACATAACACCGATAGCCATTGTCATGAGGTCAATGCTAGGACGAGATATTCCAAATACGTCCAGGAAGATATCGAGACTGAAAGAGGACGTCGAAGATAATTCATCATAGGGATCAACCTGTCAAATTGTATTCCGCCTCAGCCGAGGAGGCGTCCGGACCCACTTGGGCACCATTGTTGTGTATATAACTGGGACCTTCGTCCTCTTTACTTCAAGCAGTGATTAAGGGAAAAACAGACTCTTTACAACTCTTACACGCATGGAATCTTCCTATTCACTTTGGCACAACCATCTTCAAGTGAGTGGATTCGATAAAAATGCTTGCAGATCTTTCCACCTGTCCGTCTGCAACGGTCAGACCTTGGGAAGGCACTTGGTAAACCCAGAATTTGGCTTATTGCGCTTTTGTAGGTAATTTGCCATGAGCACGAGACCTTGAACATAACCCAGGGACCCTATTTCCAAGATATCCATGGTCAAGTTTTGGCGGGCAGTCTTGTAAAACGGGACGTCATTATCCGATGCATCGGTTCCGCCAACAAAGGCTCCAATGGCTATGATGATGTTATACAAGAGCGGCCATGAACCATCTCGTGGTTTGGCTAGTGCACCTAAGACCAAGTCAATAATCAGTCCCTGTGAGCGCCACATGATGTTTTACCTGAAACACGGGCGCGAAAGGTCCCCTCGTGGAGAAGAGGATAATCTGTGTGATAAATGGCAAAGTAATCGTTTATGTAGCGCGCAATGTCGGCGGACGATGCCTCTGGTATGCTGCGCGAATCCGGCTCGTCCAGTGGATAAGGCTTTCTACCATGAATGGGAATATAGAGATGGAGGGTTTGTAGGAATTTCAAAGCTGCAACACCAGATTGAGGGCCTGTATAGCCGACCTTGCCAGGTTCCATAACAAGAGATCCCATGCCGTCAGTGGAATTGTCAAAATCCTGCGATTCATCAAACTCGTAGTCGTCCGCGTTGCTGAATTCAGCGGGACTGGAGTCGGTAGGCTGCTCGTGTCCCACCGGCCTATATGATAATTCTGGTGCCTCTGGAAGTGCAACAGGACTCTGGTTGTTGGGCAGGTCCCCGCTTCCTGGTTCGAGGCGATGAATGGCATCTTGGAGCTTGACTTCGGGCAAGTGGACAGCCCATGCTCTTTCCATAGATGCTATCAACTGCTCAGCTTGGGTCAAGCGCCTAAACTGGGCACGTCAGCATAAAGGCACCTTGGGGTAGATGATCAAGCTGGCGCGATAAGACTTGCCTTTGAAGTGCTGTAATGGTCTCTAGAGCCGAGCTATACCTGCAATCTTTGCCATCGCGAATGCAGTTGGAGCATCTTGCGCTATTAGCAACAGGCAATCTCTTCTTCTGTCGGAGTCTCTCAACTTTGTTCCTGATGTAGATACGGGCTGTGGCGGATCTACAACTTTGCGACCCTTCCCGCAACAAGCTGAAGCCGCGCCACACGGCTCATGCCAAGTCTTGACCCAATTTCGACAAAGAAGCTTAGAATAACGGGTCACAGATACATTTATGCCAGCCCCAGTACACGAAAAACGCCGACCGCCCAAATTAGTATGTATACCTACATTGACTCTACTACCATCACAGCTGGCTATCATTGTCATCTATACATTACCCCTTAATGCATAGGAGATCATATTATTAGTTACCTAGTATGTCTGATTATAAGTATGGTGGATCTCTGAATCACTATAAGCACGAGATCACGTTCCAAGTTCTAGTTACCTTGGAAATAACTTGGAATTCAAAGCTGAATATATCAATAAGCTCGCGCGTCCCCCAGCACAGCTCAACTTCCACTCCCAACCCTCGGTCCCTCTTCAGGCAGAGAAGCCGTAGCTGCTAGCGATGTAGTACCAGTCGCTGCCTCTCCACTGCCCGTTGTTGGTAGCCACGCTGCCGTTCAAAACGCGATCGTACATGACGCAGAAGAGCTGGTCCAGCGCATTCTCATCGTTGATGAACTGGTAGTAGGTGTTAAAGAAGTTGCAGGGCCGCTCGTTAGGTTGACCGGCGGCCCAAGCAGTGTGCTCGTTGCATTTCTGCGCGCAGGCGGAGGCGTCGAGGGTGGCTTGCTGGTACGACTGGCCCACCACGTACGAGCTGGCGCTGATGGCGCCGGAGCCGAAATACTGGCGGGTGGGGTATCCTGGGGGAGGGACGATGCCCTTCTTGACATAACCGTTGGAGCCGGCAATGACGACCTGGAACTGCTGGTTGGTGTAGCCTGTGTTGACCAGGTTGTCCAAGGTTACAGGACCGCCCCAGAGGACACACTTGATATAGGCCACGCCGTCGGGGTCCGGGCATTCAGCGCCGGGGGACACGCTGGGATTCCGCTCAAAGAGTATGTTGAAACCCTGGCAGGTCTTCTTGTTGGTGCAGGAGGCGGCACAAGCTGCAACATCGTAGGATTGCAGCAGGGTGTAGCCAAGGTAGTCATTTGCGCTGTGTGTGCGTGTCAGTCTAATGGTGAGTTGAGCAATTTGATGCTGCTCACTTGTTGGATTTCTTCTCATTGCTAAAGATGGAAGCGTAGCCATCCGGAGTGACTGCTCCGCTCGCAGCATCGGCGAAGGAAGTCGCGCCGGTGAAGCCCTCAGCAGAGGTCGCGTCGAACGCGTAGCCAGTCACGCCGGCTGGCTCGGGGCTGCAAGCATCCCTCTTGGCGATCAGGGTAGCAGTAGTAGGAACGCCCACTACGAGGGTGGAAAGGCTAGCAACAGCCCATAGAGTGGGGAGGAATTGCATCTTGGAATGGGGGAAGCTTTCTTGGTAAGGCTGGTAATCCTGGAGTCTTGATGAGATTGAGGAATGTTAGCCGGTAATCACTGCTTAAGCGGGAGTTTCTCGACTCTTTATAGACGACGGTCATGTCCTGAAAACAACTTTAGATGCGTCTTTTTCGGTGTCCCAGTGGCCAGACATGGTCGAGCTGAAGCCCTTGGATCATAATTCCGGAACATATCGCCACCACCGGAATTATTTCGTGGGCTAGATTCGAGGCGGCGTTCAAGGATAGCAGCCACAAGAGACCTCAGTGTAGTGCGTTGCTCCAATAAGATTTGAATGCCAGGGATCTATGTACAGCCCATCAGCGTGGCTGTATCTCAAAAAAGAAGGCAGACGATGAGCACCCCCATATCAGCTGCCTCACTCATAGACGATGGCGTCTCCCACGTGTCGTATGAAGGGGGAAAGGACCACGATCGATCTTGTACAACCTTCAGGCGTCCGCGACGCAAGAATGTTGTGCCAACTTGCAGATAAATGCAGAAGTTCGAGAAGGAAGTGGCTTCCGCCACCTTGTCAATGATTGTGAAGATCGGGATGGAAACGGAGCCTAGATCTGCTAGTGCCAGCTGTACTTAGGTAGTTGGTGTGACGGATCTTGTCTGGATTCTAGAGAATATAATGGCATATCACAGCGGGAGGGAAAGGGTATTTCCACTGGATCTCGGTAAGACGCGTCTCCATCGTTTGGGCGCGAATGAATGCATGACACGGCTGCCGAAAGGCGCCAAGATCGATTACCGGTTCCTAGGTGGCAACGTACAGCCCTACTTCGATCACAGAATTGTTGTCATCAGGTGCGAAGTGATCTTGAACCAGATACAGGAGGATTATTATGCCAGTCGCAGGTGGAACCAGGTCTCCCGCTTTTTGCAGCCGTATGACTGCCACGGCTGGCTCAAGGGGAACTGTCACCACAAACCGGAGAAATGTCTCTACCGACATCGAATTAAGATGTTCGGAACTGAGGTCCCTCCCCGTCAACACTCCAGCACTGTTGAAGCACAGGTGGGCAAGACCCCGACCTGAAAGTACTGGGCACATGGCAAGTGCTTTAACGGTGATGAGTGCAAGTTAGCCCACGATGGCATCGGTGTGGTCCTCGATCGGTCAGTTTGTATTTACTGGAAATAGGGCAGGTTTTTCAACGGCGATGCTTGTGGATTCCGTCATGGGGAGATCGTGGCAGACCCTGGGTCAGAAGGCGGCGAGGGGGACTTGTGTGCTTTCATGGGCAACGTTGAAGTCGGCGGAGAGAATAGAGAGGATGGAGAGCCCGAGCAATCGTTGCGGGCTATTGACTTCATCAATCAGACTTAGTTATTTTTCAGTCTGTCGTAAGTGGCCCCTGGACGCGTCGGAGGTTTGTTGAGTCGATCAAAATATAAACCTTAATTAGGAAGATACTTTCCTACTGTGTCAGCCACCTAAGTATTCTTGGTAGAATTATCTAGGTGATTCCCCTAGAAGTGTGAGCTCCATTCAACACCACAGCCCGGTTGCATGGTGTTAGGGATAAATGGAATTACCCAGGACTCCAGATCTTGCTTGGATATGGTTCAGCTGGTTTAGATAATAAGCAGTTTGGAGCACCTGTGTATTTAGGGAGATATTGGTTTCTCATTTGCTATGCATCTAGAAGTTGGTTGGCTGCTCCAATGTCATTAAACTCTGCCTTGAGTTGGCAGTTTGACTCTGGGACGCATGTTAGAGCCAATGTCTTCCTTCATTCACTGCCTACATTCGTGCTTTTGTGTACTGCGCCACTGGCGTCGTGCCTCATACGCAACTTGTGATGTGGGGAGTCAGGAACCCAGCTCTCGTATCTTCATGTGAGACAGTTACACCCGGAGCTTTCCCCTCACAATGTTGGTGTACGGTGTTGCGGGTGACATCCGGTGCCGGTTGGACATGAAGGGGCACAAGCCGACTCATCCTGCTCGTCTGAGTAGATGTACGTGTCATCGTTTTCGCTGCGCTGTCCTCGTGGCAGCTACATCCAAATCCTTCAATCCGAGTAGGTGAGATTTTTGGTTATCGAGTATGTCACTTCTTCGCTATCTTTATTGAGGTGGGCGATATGCACACTTTAAATCACAAGTTGAGAAATATTATGGCCGATGGTAAATGGTGGTCTCATGGTAGCAAGTTCAATTGCCTCGTGACTAATGCCCACGGCAAGCTGCAGCGGCCGACGTGGCCCCGAGATGCCGGTCCAACATGGTCTACTGTGTTTGTATCACTGAACATTGTACTCTGCAAACAGTTTGTCTCGTCGAACTCGTTTCAGCCTCGGTGTTGCCAAACATCATCGTTTTTCCACTTGTACAGTCCTCCGCTTTCCCAGAAGGTCCTCGGCCTCGTAAGACATCAAACAAAGTTTGGCTTCCAGAATAGCAATATAACCACGTTTGATTCATCATCGAAACTCATATCGACAAAGTACCGGTTCTGTTTCCTTCAATCCAACCTAGGGCATGATTCAATGTTGGGTGAATCACAGAGCCTCGAGATCTCAGACACGATTTCAGAAGTCTTGTTTTTTGGACGAGTTCCATATATTCGGTTCAAAGGTCTGCCACCCCGTACTCTCTTTCCATGATGGTCCGAAATTCCCATAATGATCAAGCTGTCATAGAACAAGACCGAAGCCTTCACGATGGTCGACGATGGACCGCTGATGCCGGTGCTGGAAGCGAACAACACGAACGCAACCAACAGTTCCGCACCAACGGGCCCGGACGTCCCTGGAGGAATTAATGGCTACGTTCACACGCTCTTCGTGGTTGGCTTGGCTATTGCTATAATTCTCATTTTGCTGGTCTGGCTTCTTTGGGGTTGTTGGTATCGGAGACGGGCACATCGAAAGGAACGCGAAGCTGGCAATGTCAACGTTTCTATCTCGCGACCGAATCCGAAATGAGGACTGCGCGCTTTGATTACTCCATGCCATCTAAAACCCCTGAAACGAGAATTATGTGTTTGGACATACTGAGGGATGCCCGGGTCGAGGTGAGGGCTGAGGTTGAGTGTGGGAGGACCCGACATCGAACGCGATTACGAATATTTAATCAAACTGCCTTTTCATAATTAGAATTTTGTGGAATTGTCTAATTACAATCAATTGTTCCCACAATAAGTCTTCATCGATGCCAAGGCTCTGCGCTGGGCTGTTCATCCTGCGCTGAATTAGACACAGTCAGCTTAGTGCAGGCTGTCACAGCTCGGAGCCTGTTCAAACCATGTGTAAAAGGCGCGGGTCCAAATAATTCCTACCAATGTGCGGGCATTTATTTGACCTCGCACATTGTTTGCTTCTAATTCATCCGTGACCAAGTGACCACACATTTGTCGTACAATACTTGCAATTACGGGAGTAACATCCAAAACAGTAGACTGTCTAACATGTCACTGTCACGTTTAAGTCAGGGTCTGCACATTCGGCCCACCCCCTAATTCGGCCCACTTCATACCCGCGTGCGCGTTAGGTTTATTTTATTATATATCACGCGTTTTTTTTATAATGAAATTTTCTCTTTTCTTTAAACTTTTAATATATTATTATTTATTAATTATAAAGCTATATATAGAAAAAAATATAAATACAGCATTTAAGGTAATTTAAATTAACGCTAATATTTAAAAAGCCTCTTTATATTAAGATATCTTAAAAATTATACTTTATAATTATTATTATAATGCTTAAAGCTATTTAAATACCTTAAAATCTTAAATAAAGTTATTATAAATTTAAGAAATATACTTATTTAATTAAGTAATTAATTAAATAATATTAAAGCTATTAATAATATATTTTAAAATAAGGTTTTTTATAGCTTAAATAGCTATTCCTTAAAAATATTAATTACCTTTTAATAAGCATTAATTAAGAGCTTTTTTTATTAAAAATTTTAAAATTTAAAGTATATAAAGTTATTAAATAACTTTAAGTTAAATAAATAAAGTAAAAATAAATATAATTAAAAAGTAGTTTAACCTTTTTTAATTATTAATAATTATAAATATTTACTTAAAAAATTATTATAATATTAATAAAAAGGGTATAGCTAAGAATAAAAAAAAGAATGATATTATTTTAAGATTTAAAAAAAGAAAGGTTATTACTTAAAAAAGCTATAAATTATATATATAAATCTCTTTTTTTAAGTATATCTTTATAATAAGTAAATTATGCCCTTTTTTATTATTTTTAAGGAAAAGTTAATTTAATAATAATAATTTAAAACCCTTAAGGGTTATAAGAATTAAAAGTTTATAATAATGCTAAATAATTAAATAAATAATATTATAATATTTAAGTAATTATAAAAGATCTTTATTTTTTAAATAAAATTAAATGCTTTTAAAAAATAATATTTATTAATAATAAATAAATATAAAAGTTATTATACTTTAAAGTTTATATAAAAATGCTTTTTATATAAGATTTTGTGGGAATAATGGGTGTTGTTTGTATGGAGGACTGTTTGGGATTAGGCAGCTTTAACCCGTTAGGATGCTTAATAGGCAGCAGCCTTAGCGCTATATATAAAATAGCTAGCATAATTAGGCCTTTTACCTTCCTTTCTTTTATAATTAATAATAATTAACTACTATATTAATTAAACGTTATATTGCAATATATAACTTAGCTAATATTAATTAATAGTTGCAAAAGCAATTATAAATTAGCAAGGCCTAAAGAGATAACCTTTTAGTTATATTAATTAATATTATTAATATTATGAATTTATACGACGCAATTTATAATGATAACGATACTTAATGTATAAAGAGGTAGTTATTATGGTAAGAAATTATGATGAACTCCCCTACTCTTAATATATATATATTTATTATATTTTAAATAATCTTAATAACGACTTTTAGATTTAATAGCTATAATTAAAAGAATTGAATTAATATTTATTTTTATTAATAATATATTTACTTATATT